AGTACTTGATTTGTTAGGCCCGGGCGGAAGAGCTTCGATATATCGTATTTCCGTAGATCGACTGTGAGTCTAAAATGATCGATGTTAATCATTTCTGATGTGAAATTCAACGCTCTTTCAGAATCCACCATTAACTTTTACATGAGAGCAGCCGTTTCAAAGAAAAATGGGCATTTTCGGGAAAAAACTGAAATTTCCGTAAATGCCCGTTTTTTCGGCGGCCATTTTGAGGGGTTCAAAGTCGTTTTACAAAAAAATTTATAGAGGTCATTTTTATTGGAAATTTTATGAACTTTTATTCACTAGATAACTCATTTTTCGCTAAAACCAATTCTTTTTGAGATATTTACGAAAAACCGAGGAAAGGTCGATTTTTTGGGGGTTTTGGGGGGGCGGGGGGTCGAGCGTACAGGGAATTCTTGGGGACTTTTTGCTGGGAGTCCCTGGCACCCCAATGAACAACTTGGGCACATAAAACCTTATATATAAATTTTTTTTTCTAATCGCCGATTTTTGATCTAATATGCCTGGACTAATACCTTTTTACCAATTTATCTCCTTCACTTTGGAAGATATAAAATAAGGACGTTACATTTTTGGATGATGACTATCATAGGTTCAGAACTAATAAAGCAATGTTAGAGAGAGCATGTGGGCAAGACTTTTTGAAATTTTACTCGTGAAAATATGAATGATATGCTACACCTACTACAACAATAAACAGCTATGAAAGTAAAACTTACTGATGTTGAGAGTGATGACCGTTTCCTCTTGTTGTTTTTCAGATGTTTCAATGTAAACTGGTTCTGGCCTTGTGATATCCTTGGTTACTGTTGATGATGTTAACCCAAGTAAAAATGCTTTGCCAGCTGCTTTACTAAAGACACCTTTCTTATGCCCACCAGGGACTATTGTTGGACGATGAAATGTTTGGACTATTTCACGGGCCTGAAAAAAAATTAAATTAATGAAAAATCTGGGTACATAATGTCTACACTTGTATTTCTAAAAAGATAATTAAACCAATGGGTCAGAGAGAAGAGATGTTTCACAGTTTCCAATAATTATTTTAAAAGTCCCTTAAATTTATCAAAATTATTACTCAGAACACCGCTTATTGTACATAAAAATTCATTTGCTCTTGAAATTCCCATATTTAGGGTATTAAATACTATCATAATTTCAATATTTCTTGAAAGTTAACAATTCTCGGAAATCTATGCTTTAAAGTTTTTTGACAGTTCTACACTGATAAGACTGCAATATTTGGAAAATTTGCGAGTAAAGAAGACTGATTTTTAGGCCTTCCTGGAAAATACGAAAGTTACATTCATTTTTTTTTATTTCTGCTTACTCTGTTTAAATTTGTCTTCTTCTTTTTTTCCGCTTCTTGAGCCATTTGGATAATTGGATTGCATTTAGCAAAAAGAGACCAAGGGCATTCCAGTGTTGCTAGGATTGTGCAACTAACATTCTTCGCAATAAAATTACTGAAATCATGCAAAAAATTCAATTTACGAAGATAATTTTCGTCTTGAATTACATAATAACTTATTGGGAGCAAAGATAAAACTTCTTTAAATGATCTGTTTATATTTGCAGGGTAAAATAAGTTGCACAGTTTTAACGACACTGTAGTGCTCTTGGCCATTGCTTTACTGAATGTAGAACAAATATACATCAAAATATTGAATAAAAAATATCCACTTACTTGTTTACTGTAATGAAATCTGGTTGTTATTCCATCAAAACTTAACGCCAGCAAAGAGATACACGTTAGATCTCTAATGTTATCAAGCGCAGAGAAAGAGATCACTTCTTCTACAATGGAGGCTTGTAAGACACAAATATTAATCTGCAAATATAATGAAAGAGAGAAAAATATTATTCAAAGTTAGGATATGTACTTATCAAGTCCTACATGAATTGATCAGAGCCAGAATTGAAACGAATATTTCGTCGAGATAGTTCTCAAATTTTGATTGTCTAATTCTTTTTAAAATGTTCAATAACTGTTTTTCTTAGAAACTTGACAAAAAGCAAATTTGAAATTTCCAATAAAATGCTTAAAAATTTCACCTGCACTTTATGGTGGGAACTAAACACATACGCAATGACTTACATTTTTTAGGAGCTGCTCCAAGTATTGATAGTTTGTAAGCTTGATTGATAATGATTTCTAATGGGGGATTCAAAATGATGACTGAAAATTTTAATGCCATTTTTTTAAAACCGTCTACAATTTTGCGGGATGCAAGGTGAGCTCACAGACTGAGTGGGATCTACTGGTGAGGTAATGCATCTGCCTGATCTGAACACATTCCCCCTTAGTCTTGCACCAATACTCATTAGAGCTTATGTTAAGACTCTAATGCTCATTTTTGGCCTTGATTTCCCCACAGAGTGAAATGTACCCGGCAGGTTTATACCATCTTATTACTTGCAGTACTCAAGCCACATTTTTAGTGATTTATTTCTTGTCTTAGTAATAGCTATTTTTTGTACTAGAGTCATTACTTGGTGTTTTCGATGTTCAAGTTTCTGCCATTCTACACATGACTAAAATATAAGCCTCCACCATAAATTGCCGGATAATTGGATATATTTATACTGATTTAACTAGAACCAGTCTAAGTGCAACTCACAAAGCCGATTCTTCTATCATGTTTTATTTTTTTAGAGAGAATAAAATAACACATCTAAATTTCATTGAATTCGCCCTGATCATAACAGTATACTCACAAAATTTTAAGTCAGAATGTTGCTTGGTTTTGTCTTGAAAAATAAAAATAAATAAATGAATAGAATATGGAAGAAAATTAGGCAATGTCTTGTGTGGTTTTCCTGATACTGGTTAATGGATATTGTGCGTTTTAACAAATAATATTGCACAGGAAATATTGAAGAGCATAAAAATTCAACTGAATTTTACGGTGAAGTTTATGAGTTACCTTTGGTAAGACGACAGTTCCTTGAACCTGCGTTACAATATATTGCTCTAGAATACTTGAGGGCTCATGTTCAGAAGTGGGAGGCGCAGCGGCAATTCCTTTTTTCCTTTCAACGGTGCTACGTTTGCTTCCACCACCCTGGAGCTGGCTCAAATACTGATCTTGCTTCAACACATTTGCAGCTTCAACTCTACTGATGCATGACATGTGAAGGTGGTTCAAAACACTTAAGGGATGAAGATTACTTAGGGTCGGAGTTAATGCATCAATTATTCTGTAAAAAGTACAAAATTTAAAATATTTAATCATGATACTGCTGATTTAGTTACGTTTACAGTTTGCTGACTAGAAATGCTTCCTGGAAACTGCTCCATGATCACAATATTTTTGAGAACAAAACTTTTGATAGTTTCACGGCTAATTCACACACTTTTTTGACGATATTATAATGATTTGAAAGTTGAAAATTTTGAATACACAGATAATGAGGGTAAAGATAGTTTTACACTAAATGTTTACATACAGAGGAAGAAGATGAAAAACACCAAGGAGAAAAATTCTTTCAAAGAATGGGTCAGTTCTGCTAGTCATGGAATGGTGTTCTGACAGTTACAACTCTTAGATTAGCATAGTGTAATGAGATTCGTCTTGACATCAAGTTTTTACTTCCAATATGAACACAGATATTGGCCATAAAAAAAGGGCATATGATCTAATCCACCGCAGTAATGCATACCGCAGTTTCTTCCACCTTAGTTTAATCCGTGTTTTCATGCACTACCACAGTACCACAGAGGATGATATAATATGCTATACTTTTCAATAAGCAATACCTACTTCAAAACTGGAGATAGTAACTTGGCGTCTGAACAGATCTTGTTATTTTTTATTCATCTGTAGACTTAAACCATCAAACATGATTCTGTGACTAGCGCAACAGACCAATTATTAACTCAAATACAAACCTTTGTAGAGATTCTAAAGCTAGAGGGCTGACCATGATGTCAACGTCTCCATTCATTTTGATTATGATTGTTGTTCTAGTGCCACTTTCTATTCTTTGGGAGAGCAGTTCTTCTTCACATTCTGAAAAAGGATGAATCATTTTATTGGAAAATATTCCGCAAACGGAGGATTTCATAAACATACAAAGGAGCAAGTCTCCCTGTCATGCAATTCAACTTTATCGATGTATATTGCTGGAAGTCAGGCAATGAAGCGATTACAACTGAATTTTACTCATTAAAGTCTTTGCCAAAACCAAACAAACAATCTACAAAAAAACTGCAACTTCTCGTACTCTGAAGTTTGATGTCTCAATTTAAGTGTAAAATTTTACCAATGACTACCTCTGCCTGATACTCTATTTCTGTTTCATACAAGAATCTCAAAATTAAACCATCATGATAGGTAATTTTTCAGAGTTACTTTGAATAATTAGATCACAGCGATAGGTTGATGATAAACCAATACTTGCATTTGAAGTGGTATGATCAAAAGTCACTTATCATAGTAATGAAAACCATGGGCAAAATAAAAACACACATAAAAGCATGAGTGAAACATAATGCTTTAGATTTATGTTACTTGAACCTATCATTTTATATACCTGTTTCTGCTCTTTCCTCCTCATAAACCAGTTCTTGCTGTGCAACATCCCACATGTATGGATGAGTAGGAGTTCTAGAGGATGAAGTTGGTGGGATAGGACTTCCATCTTTTTCCCTACCTCTGCTCACCATTTTTAACCCTGTGAAGCCTTCACTCATCATTTCAAATCGTGGTAAATATTTACTTCCTGCCAAACATAAAAGACCAGAAAAATTTAGACTCTAACTTTTAAAAATAAAAAATGTAAAAAACTTGACTAAAATGAGTATACGGTTCATTCCTCCTCCCTGACGTTCCATCCAAAAAAACCTTATCAACAGTATTAAATGAAAATGGAGGAATCATAAACATATACAAAATATTCTGCTACAAGAAAGGAATAATGAGGGAATTTCACAAGAAATTACATTGACTAGTTTTCTAAAGAAAAAATCGAGTATGACAGAAAATCTACATCTTAAACGAAGATATGTGATTTTACGCTTTGGCTATTGATATTTAGGGGCATGAAATCATGTTAGATTAGCTTGATTTGATATCATAATTGGCTGAACTGATTACCAATGCAGAGTTTTCAGGTCTATCTCTCTGTATCTTTAGCCTCTGTTCTATTTATGGCATTTTATTAAGCATGCCAACTGAGGATCTAACAAAATCTATTGGGTTCACTTTTGGCATTTGGTTAGCCTTGTTCAAGCAACTTTATTCTTTTTCTTTCAATGGAGGTGCCTACATTTGATGTTTTAAAACATAAAGCAGGAAGTGTGAGGGAAATGAAACCTTGAACATATTTTAAGAACCAGATGCAAACAAGAGTCAAACAATGCAAGAGTGACCCTACTACGTTCGAGTTAATTTGAAGTTTTCCTTGACTTTTTTCACAGGAATTAAATTGTATGAAGTGGGCATTCAGCTCACAAGATTGCTTACCTACAAAAACTAATTTATCATCATTGACTGGTTGAAATAGAGGGACAGTAAATGCATCTGAACCCGCAGGCAAAGAACACTGTGACCAGTTATTACAGCGAAGCTGCAAGGAGAAAAAATCATTAACATAAATGAGTCAGAGAAGTAATTCTACCATAATATTCGAAAATAAGCTAACACCAAATTCTAATATTTTCTTCTATTTATTCTGGAGGACATCTTTATTCCATCAATTTGCAAGGCATCTGCACTACAGAGTCTAATTCATATATGGAGATTCAAGTTGACGTCATTTAACTCATGAGCTCTGTCCACAACGCTCTTGTCACATGCAATGACTCATGAGTGGCGCATTCAGTTGGCACATAGTTCTGTTCGACAGAATGTAAGAACCTGCTTTTCCATTTCTCCAAAGGGGACCACACCCACTTTTACGTTGCTTCTTTTCCAGCTCACCACGGCACACCCCATCATTCCCACTCGTCTATAGTTCCGTTTGGCAGAAATATGTTCATTTGAGTTCTGACATTCTCTATTTACATGACATGTGCTCAGACTATTCGATACTTAAGATAAACAGTGCCTTAACTTTTCAAAAAATTTACTCTACACATTCATGCATTAACCTTTACTTTTACGACGTTGTTTTTTTGCTGTCTCAGCTAAAGGAACTGGTGAGAATACTGATTGTGAGAAAAACTATAAAAGGAATGAGAAAACGCCTATTTAAAAATGCCATGAATGGCAAATTAATATTTCTTAAAAATTGAATTCAAGACTTTCAATTGTTGTTGCGATAAGGCCACCTTCCTTCAGAAAGAAATCCCACACCTCCGTTAAAAATTAAGATAGAATTTTAAAATTTTTTGTGAACATATAAATGCAAATCCTGGATCCAAAAGTCAATTCTCAGTTCTGAATCATCTTCCATACTGCCAGAAACCTTGTTACAATGTTTTTTCACCCATCTTCAAATAGCACACTGTACGTCTTATTGTTAGACTAAAAAGATCTCAAATTTCTTATCCTAGACTAAAATTTATGCTTAGACTTTATGCTTTTATTTTATAGATTCCAGCTGGGTGAAAGAATTACCTGTGATAAATGGTGTATATATGTTGTCATAAGGAGAGGGGAGTCAACAATTGGCTTGTTGACTTGCATGTGCAAATTAATGAGTGCCAAGTCTTCCTGTGATGAAACAGCAGATAAAAAAGACGTGCTTGACACAGAGTGCGAATCGGATGAGTCTAATAAAAGGGTATCTTGCATCTGTAATGAATTAGAGAATATGCATAAATTAAACAAAGAGAAAAAAATGTTTGGCCAGATTCCATAAAAGGGAACAGATTAGAATTTAGCCAATAAATTCCTCGAAATTTATTGACACAATTGTATAGTAGAGGCAAACTCCACGATTTACAGAAACACCAATCTTCCATTCCGCTTCATACTTAAATCAAGATACAGGGTTACTGACTTAAAAATATTTGGTCTGCTAAAGAATCATTTTTTTACATTGCCTGAAGAGATTCCTCAACTTTGAAACTTAAACTGATTTTAACCAATTAATGGAAAGTATTAATGATAAAAATAATAGATTTACGGGGCATTAAGGTTCATTGAGTTTTAAAATTTTCTGATCCCTAAAGTTTCTGAACGAACAACTCCATGTCTTGTACCTGTCTTTTCGAGGATGATGAGTATGAAAATGCTTGTCTTAAGACAAATTCTGCCTGACAAAAAGTTTGAGCTTAGTAGTGGAGCACATGATCATGTGATCATTTAAAAGCTTGACAGGATGAAGAAATTGAAGATTTAATGGCAAAATTCTCTGAATTTTCACAGTGGAGTGAAATATACCATCTTTCCAAGGTTTTCTCTGACTTATCAAGAACTTGTCGGCCTAATTTTAGGGTATAGAAATTATCTTCCTAATTCCTATTATTTGAATAGCATTCTTCAAATGAAACCTTTAATAAAATAATTCCTCAAACTGGGTAAAAAATTATGGATTGCTAGGCAATCAAGCTTAAAAATCACAATTCGGTAATAGTAAACTTCGTACCGAGTTTTTATCAATATCTTGAAGGCCATTTAAACTTGATGCTACAAATCTTGATGCAGATGATTTATGATGTAGCTTCCTAGGCATCGGAAGACTGTCCATCACCAGAGTCTCGTCTTCTGTTAAACCTCCACTCTACGAAAATAAAACGTAATTTATAGAGAAACATAGGGTGACGTCCAATGGGTGACAGTGGAGTGGATATTGCAAATTGAAATAAAGAAGTTACTTCAGCAAGCTGATTCTACGAGGCCATTTAGATTGGACAAGTTAAGCATGATACAATATTTTACACAGGTTAGATAGAGCTCTGTCTGTCCTACCTAATCTAGTCTTAATGGCTGATACAAATTTGAAATTTTTAAAAAAAGCCTTGCAGATTATCTTCCATTATTTCAAAAACTGGTGATTAAATGTCAAAGATAAGCATTTGGATTAAGAAAAGTTCCCATGGCCTGTTGGACAACCTACCAGACACTAGTTTTTAATGCAATGATACCAACAGCCAGGCTGCAGGACTGCTACAGCTATCTGCTGAAGAGATTAAAATTGGAGGTGAGGTTAAGTTCATGGCAAAACCACCGAACAAAGCATCTTGCAAACCAACCAGTAGTATTTAAGCTAGAGTGTCAAATGAAAAAATGGAGTACATTCTGAATCTATTAGAGAAATATGTATAGGGAACATGTTGAGGTAAATGAAACAAAGAGTACTTCCAAGAATGGAGAAAGGCACTAAACTGTGACAACAAATTACATTGCTTTCAGGACCAACAATTCCTGGATTTTGCCATGAATGCTTTCTGATGAATTTCTCCAAATAGACAAACTGCCAAAGGATGTAAAATAATTAAAATATATGCCATGTAGAAACATCAATCTTTAAAGGATATGTAAAATTTTATCTAAAATTTTATGAATTATTGAAAGAAACAGCATTTTTACCTGTTCACGACTTTCGGCTAAACTGCGGTGCTCTGGAGTGTGTATTTCGTGATCACTTCTGTGAGTATACAAGCGAGTATTTAATTCCATTGTGTTGCTGCTGGTGACAGGTAAACTTTTGCCCAGCATTATATTCATATCACTTCCATAATGTTTCCTAGAATAAAATATGCTGACGTGACAATTCATTCAAAGAGGGGTGAAAGGGTAAAATACCAGAGAAACAGATCTTACCTCATACAATAGGGGAAATTTTTTTCTGTTACTTCGTGTATTCAATTTAGCAATTTTTCTAATTCTGAGTATATTTATTACAATCTTCTTTTTCCCCTTTTCCATTTACTTCAGTAGCTCAGAGGAGTTTGATTTTCAGACTCAAGAATTATAAACAAAAAATACTTATTCTGATTTTGAGGAATTACCTCCACATTATGCAAACTGCTGACTTCTGATGCCATTCAAGAAATTACATAAGCTAATACAGACCCATACAAATAATGTCACTCCGAAACATCTTATCCCAATTGCTGATCCTATTTTATTTTTTCAAAGGGAAAGAAGACAACTTAATTGCTACAAATTTTCAAAGAGGTTTCTTCACACAGAGAGGAAAATTGACAAAGATTTTCTCAAGAAGTTATGAAAGTAGATTAGTTTTCCACCGACAAAGTAAGGTTCCTGTTCTACCTTACTTTGCATGTGAAGTACTTATTCTGAGAATCGCAAACCAAGATAGGTGGATTCTGAGCTAAGTCAGTAAGGTATAGCACATTTTATCATAGCGAGGACAATACTTACTTTGCAAGATTTTCTTTACTACTTAAAGGAAGGGAATGCCTTAGAGTGCATGACCGAGAGGAAGCATCAAATTCTTGTCGATTACTCATCTGTCCAGCACTTAATTCTTCTTCTGCTGAAAAGAATGTTTCTGACTGGTTTTCACTAGTTAATGAAGTTGTGCGGTGAAATAATGAAACCTCATCGCTTGGGGCCCGAGTAATGGCCTCTTCATACACAAGAGAAGATTCTGATCCACAGAGATTAGTGCTTTTGTTTTCCTGAAAATAGTTTATAACAAACAGGTATTAACAATGTCATCTTTAGGCACTCTACACGACAAGAACTTATTTCTCAAAATCTTAAACAAGCATACAGGAACTATACAAAGTAAACACTGAGTTTTAATTATCAGATTTTATGTTCATAGACATGATAATCATTGAAAGGTAGACTACTTCCACCAAAATTTTGAACACAGGAAGCTTTGAAGTATCTTTTACAACAATTAAATTCAAATCATTTTTCTTCTGATTAAAGCTCTGATAAAATACAAATATTTAATATATACACCTAATAAAACATGGAGATGAACCTGATAAATGCATCAAGTCATTCTAGGACAAACAGGATCAAAACAAATGAAAAACCTACTTGTCTTGAATTTTTATTTTTAGACATGAAGATAATATTTTTACAACAATCATCACTGTGTTAACTTTCAGATTGCATCTAAACTGACTTATTTTCCAGACTTCATGATTTGAGCTTACCTTTGAGGGAAATAAAATTTCAACAGAGTCGCTTCCAGTTTGCAATGGCCTGTTGAAATAATCAACCGCTAATCCACTGTCAGATACACTACTCTTTGGCCCATCACGCATTTCTGACTCAGGGACACTCAAGATTGAGCGGGTGGCCGTCAACTTTGAATCTGAATCTAATTTAGGAGGCAAAGCATTGGTTGGACTTGAATCTAATAATCTAGCATAAGGCACATCACGACAGGCAGAGTGTACTAGAAGAGATGGTCTGTAAAAAATGTAAACAAGACATATTAAAATTACATATGGTAAAATAAAACAATCATAAATGTAGTCAGCAGCTTCAGTACTGTTGGAGAAATCTGCTATAAAAACTAAAGTTTTGGGCTGAAGCTCTAGAAATAATGACTTCATACAATTAACAGAATGAATAATTTATAGAGTCAAATGAGAAATATACTTGTCGGTGAAATGTTAGCAATCATCAGGCTTTGAACTTCTCTCCTTCTTCTATTCATAATAAGGTAGATAAGCTATCAGGAGCACAGGCAGCAACTACCCCTCTTAAAGATAGCCCCTCTACAGAATAGTAAGTCCCTCTAAGATCTCTACCACTCAGCGCATGTGCAGTGCTGGAATTGTAAAGCCTGTTTTGAGTTATGTCTGGTAGGAGAGAGGACAAGGGGCTGATACAAAAAAGGAACACCAGATTCTTGATTAAGTAAATAAACCCATCGCCCTTAAGAGGGAAGAGAGTAGGCAAATTTTAAGTCACAGGCTGGCCATCACAGCTCACTCTTGTACTTCCACTCCACTCAACTTCCTTACTTGAAGCTCGATGCAACAACACAGTCGCAATCACAGAAACGGTTATGCGCTGGTGAATTAAGTTGGTTGGATTGGCTAAAAAATTGGAGAGTAATGGTGCCGAAGTCCTTCCTACGATTTCAGAGGCTGTCCATAAATTACATAAAACTCTAAGGGATAGAAGAGTCGTCTTCATAATTTTGTGATTGAGCGTGATGAGGGGTGAAAAGTGTTAAGCTCAGCATTACATAACAGTCTGTATAATGGATTTCAACTTTTTTTCTTTTCTTTTCAAGGATCATATACTAGTTTTTTTGTTCTATTCTTTTTAACTCTTGAAACACAGAGCCTTTTGATTGACAGAAGCCATGCCTTTACCCCTTTTTCAGTGAGACTTTTGAGTTTTTTTTTTGTTATGTAATTACTTTGGACCGGCATTGTCATCGCGTTACATGCAGTGGGAATCGAAAAATTAGAAGAATCACACTACGTAATTTGTGGACATCCCTTAATGGCAGATAATGGGGAATTATACTCTTTAATATAGCATGTAAAAAAATGTTTTCACAGTATAAAATTGAATAACCTGCACAGTAACATTATAACTCTCATGCTGGCTTCTCATTTGGTAAAAGGACATGCATTTATGTGCCTCAATAACACAAAGTAGAAAATAAATCAACGTACTTAATGATATTGGAAGAAGTATAGGAGAATCGCCTGGAAACTGCAGAGCGACACTCAGACGGACTTGGAGTCGCTGTGTTTATTCTGCCACAACTATCACTTTCTGCAACTCGACTGAGAACAACCGGACTTCCACCACCACCGCCAGACTCACCGGTCAAGACAGGCTATTGATAGGCACAGAAACAAAGTATTGACAGTCAGCTCATAAAGTTTAAAAAATAACTACCTTCCTGCTTTTAAAATAGGAATGAGGCTGTCTCATTCACCACCAGGCAGATCCAATTCGATACCATATTATAGAGTTGAAGGGCACCTACTCCTGTAAGAGTAATCTTAAGGATAAAGAACTCGGGCTTGCTAACAGCCACACCACCAATTTTACTCTTTTTAGAGCGCATCAGGTAGGCATAGCAAGCCAGCCATTCTCGATTTAAAAAAATTGTGAGTAATTGTAAAAATTTGACAATGAAAAAAAAGCACAAAAATTCTTGAACTGATACCCTACAAAGATCTGCATATTCACAGAATCGATGGCCACTGAGAAACTTTAGTTCAATAATTTTTAGATGATATATGCTCACAGTAATGACATAAATAATCGTCTCGGTTCAATAACTTCAAGATATAAAAGTTTTGCTCTAAACACGAAGGAGGTAATCCAACCACTTAATTTATATTTGTTTAACCATTATTACTTAATTTGATCTTTGCCTTTATTCTAACAAGTCAGTACAAAAGGAAATGCAAATACTAACCTTAAGATTTGTTGATCCAGGTTTCTCAAAAGCTGACCAGATAGGACTTTCATGAATTGATACTTGATGAGAGTCATACGGCGGTGTATGAAAAATTAACTGCGATTCGTGAAGAATACTTTGACCGAATCCAGGATCCTTTCCAGGTCCGTTTATCCTAATTGAGGAATATGAGAACAGTAATTTAACATCGACTACATTTTGTGAGTAATTGAAAACCTAAAAGTAGAAAATAAAATGCTTCTTTGACTGAAAATTGGGTTCTTAAATGCATCTAAAGATCGCATTGACTTAGAAAGAGAACTCCTGTGACAGACTCCCACACATCATTGTTGGAGGTAAAAACTACAAAATTTGATGAGTTTCAAAGATTAGAAGTGTCTTTTACGGCTTGAAAAATGCTAAAACTTTTCTTAAGACTGCTTTAATTACAAGTAAGAAAACTATTCCTTCAGATTGGTTCGACTTTTTCAAGAGTTTCTTGTTGGAAAAATTGACTCACTTCAAAATAGTGATACAAATAATTTAATTTGACATTCCTACTATTGCAATCCTACTTCTTGTGAGAGATTTCCCGTGAAATTTACAAGCATGAGCTCCAAAATTGAATGCGTATACTTAAAGGGGTACAAACCTAAAGGCTGCAACGTTGATTCCATCATTGATATCTTGCCTTCCAGGTTTGAAAAAGCGCTGACCATTCCTGTTTCTCCCGAAGAACTGACAACCACCTATGCACCCACATTTTCCAGTTGTCAAAAATTTGCTATCACTTGGCCACAGGAACCACAACCGTTTATACTTCTCATCGTGTGTTTTTAAATACTTGTGTTGAACAAGATGCAAACTCTTATCGGAGTCACACAGAGATACAGCAGCTTCTAGGATAAGAGGACCCATTGAAACAGAACCAACCTCCAGCCACAGTTCAGAGCCATTTGCGGAGGAAGGACCCCTGCAAAAGTTCAGACAGACGCTATATCTGTAGCTAAATGCCAAAGAACCATAACAACTTTTTCACTGATTTGAGAAATTAGGGGAAAACCATACGGGAACTCCATCCTGCAGCAATTTAGTAAATTTAAAATCCTGTATCTTGGGCCTGGAGATAGATATCATAACAAATTTTTATAACAAACATAGATTCCTTTGTAAATATGTTGAGTGAACAAATAACTCATTTTTTCCGAGCTTGCTAGTTATATTTCTTTGGCTCTAAATTATTGAATCTGTTGTTACAAGCTATATTTGAGATCTGTAGTGCCTTTCCGCTATAAAAATTTTGTGAAATTTTCGTACAAGTACAAGTGGAATGCAGCTAATGAGTATAAGGATACTGGGTATGTATGAATATTTAAACAATTTTAAATCATTACAGGGTACAAATAAAGAAACTTTGTAAAGAAGAGAAAAAAATAAATCATTTCTCCATTTTCTGCATGGTTAAAATGTAATGCAAATATTCCTGATAGTTTGGAATAGTTATAATCTAGAGAAAAAGACTACACTTTTACACCAGGGGTATCAATGAGATCTGAGTCATTACAATCTTCTCCTTCTTAAAGAATGTGGCAAGCCTCTGGAGCTTTTATTGTAAGTTTTCGAGAGTTTCATTCCTCCCTGATGAAGGAGTTGATTTGCTTTTTTGAATGTTGAAATATGATTATTTGGTGTACTCAAGAAACATTTTGAAGGTCTGAAAAGCTTGATTTGACTATTTACCTGTGTTGTGAGCGACCGCTGCCAGTAGTGTTTGTATTGCTATTGCTACCACCTGTATTTCCTAATGAATGAGCAAAACTGCTTCCTGCTGATATGTACTGGCGAAGGCGTAAAAATGGTAATACGGCTGTGACACCACACTTGACATGATTTCCATGAAGGTTGCAAGTAGCTACACGTATTGGAGATGCCTGCACATTAAGAAAGAAAACCTTAGCAGAAAAAAAGAGGAGAGGACACATCGTCACCTTCCGGCCGAAGTTTCACAAGCGCCATGCGACATCTAAAAATTTCCGCAGCCATTTTATTTTTTTACAGAGAAATTGTTCAATGAAGCTGTACAAAAATTTCACTGAATTTTCTTTGTGCTGCCCCTAAAGTTTAGTGAAATTTTCAAGCAGATTCAACCAACAATTTCTCTGTAAAAAAATATAATGGTGGCGGAAATTTCGAAATGTCACATGGCCTTTGTGATACTTTAGCTAGAAGGTGACAACATGACTGAATAAAGGCTAATTTGAGTCAGGTGGTCACTTGAGCAAAATATTATTGATCCTTTTCAAGTACAGTGATGAAAGATTGATCAAAAAATACTTTTTGCAGAGCACTCACAATTTACTTAAGCTTAATACATGAATTGAAGTGGCAGCAGTACAGACCTTCATAGGTTATTGTATTTATTTGTAAACTTTTTACATTATTCCTTTTGCTACTATCTGATACAAATACTTAAAGGCAATTTTTATTTCTTCCAAAAGTTTTGATACTGTGTTAGGTACTTTCACCATACTGATCTTGAAATTTTCAGGCAAAGCTAACAGAAACTCTCCGGGTAAAACTTATTAGCACCTTTGAATTCCCTTCTCTATGGGGTAGAATTTAAGTTCAGTAATGCTACCTCTTATGGATTTAAAAAATGTCACTTTGCCACTACACTGCTTAGCCTTAGTTACTATATTATTAGTCTCACTTACTAAAAGATTAATGGCTGTGCTGGACTCTACGAGATAAAAGTCTACGGCATCAATGGTAACACGAGTCATACGATATTTGATCTCATCTCCGGAGGGGCATCGGTAACTGCGATCTGGATTCGATTCGGTGCACTCTTTAGGTGGAAGACCATGATGGCATTCTTGAGGTAACCTTGGTGGCTGTAGCTTATTTTCTGGGTCCAGGGTAAGTAAAACTAGCGTCTCCAGTCCTGTTATCAAGTGGTGCAGCTAAAATATAAAAAATCCTGGTGTAAGGAGTAAAACCAAAGCAAAACAGGTCATCGAGATCATTAACAGAAACTTCTCTCCATTGCTCACCTTCTTTAAAAGAAAGTCAAAAGGTTGGACTACACAAATGGTGAATTTCACGTGTGAAGCGAATGACCAATTGGATAATTTGATTGTTTTCCTTGTGAATCCAAATACTAAAAATATTATAGATTGATAATATTTGCAGCCATACATAAATTCAAAGTCTACATGAAAATTAAAGAAAAATACACAAAATTTTAAACAAAGAGGATAATCACGAAAATACAAAAATAAGTGGATATGGCAAAGAATGAATGCTCCCTTACACAAATTTACTCATGATTTTTGGCAGAAACAGACCATAAAAGGATGATTTGAGTTGCCGAATATCAGGGTATAATGAGAACATAATTGGGTTAAGGTATTGTACCGCGATATTAGTAATGTATGTGCAGCATGTTCTTGGCAAGGAGGCTAGATTACACTTAAAATTTCAAAATTAATTTTAATTCAAATCAATTCTTTTTGAATACAATTGACAGGAATATTTTGGAAGAGAAAAAAAACTCTACGCTACTGCTAACAAATCTGCCGATCAAAGTCATAGGTACAACATTAAATAGCTAGCAAAAGAAGGTAAGGCATTGGACTTTCAAGGATTACCTGTGGACTTGTCATTTTGCCTGTTAGCCTTCCAAGTTGAATTTCTAGCATCCATGCATATTCAAGTGTTTCTTGGTCTAAGCTCCTGCCTGTATCACTAAACATTGCATGTCCTCGTATCTGCAAAGTAGAAAAGCATAGGTGATAAATTCGAATTGCAGTTAATGAAGAGAGACATTAAAGCTATTATCCTGCAAAACGTACGTTTAATGGATGAAGAATACATTATTCTAAAGACTAAGATAAATATCCGAAACATAGACAACCTATCCAGCCAAAGCTCCTAATTTCGCGGACGCTTCTGCACATAAATCAAATGCATTGTTTTGTGAAGGTGTGTATTTTATTCTTGCATGTTCTGCGTATATTCCAGTCAATAAAAATCTTCCTTGATTAATAAAAGTTTGTTGAATGGAAGTTTCACTGAACTTTTTTCCTAAATCTTAGAAAGACTGAAAGAAGCTTCACCAAGTTTCTTCAATGACGGCGGCAAGTCAAAGAAAAAAATTATGTAAAATTAGACTTACCTGAAAGCCTGACAGCATGAGATGGCCTTGATGCAAATGCTTGTCTCGACCAACTCGCATGGGTATATTATCAGAACTGATTAAGATTCCAGGGGATAGTAGAAGCTGAAGTTGCGTTTCTTTGTAGCCTTTGCGCATCTCAAAACCAAATCTTTCCAGTAAGATGACAGGGCACGGTGGATCTGACTCTGAGCAATTCTACAAAATAAATAAAAAATGATAAGAGGAAAGAATAATTAAAATGAGGGAACATAACTGGAATTTATTTTTTTAAAAGATGGGTTCCTCATAGATAGCAGTTGGAAAATCCTCTTAGTCATTAAAAACTTTATCAAAATAAGAGGAAACACAATTAAAATAATTGACATTGATTTTACCTTCATTAGATGAGCTTGAATGTCATGCATCGTGATTGAAACGATGACATCAAGAGGCCTATATTCTCGAGGATCAAAGTTCTTCTTGGAAATGGAGCTGTCATCGCTTGCATCGGTGGCATTTTGTGTTGTTGGTGGCTGGCTGGATGAGAGTGGGTTGGTATTCATATCAGTAAAACTCTGATCCTCTCCAAAAATATTTTCCTAAGAACAGACATAATGATCACACTATATTATAAGAATAATAGAATTGAATTCTCTTCAAAAACTGTGTAAAAGAAAAAATGACGGACATATGGTTTCAGAGATAATAGTAAGTATCAGTGAGATGGATGATTTGTTAAGTTTCTGACTTTTGGGTAAAGTAAAGAGTGTTAAAGAGTCAAAAGAATATTGAAGATTCAAAATTATGATACAAATTATACGCCCAGTTTTATAAATGTAGTGCTTGTTGGTAGAAGTGTTTTTCAGATTTTGAGGTTTTTTCAATAATTAATTATGGTTTATCAATCAGACTGATTTTTCTTTCACACTGTTGCTCAATTCAGGATTCAAGGGATCTAAAGTGTTGATAAATCTAATTTGTAAGACTTCTTATTCATGTTTGATGATCTTTTTTAGACTCTTTTGTTTTAAAGAGATGTAAAATGAAGGTAAACTGATGAAAAATACGATTGAACTGACATCAATTTAGCTTGTGATGAGATTTTATAGAGTATGCTAAGGCAACATGTTACAAACCTTCAAATTAACGAGACATCTTATCCATGAACCATAAACAAGCATCACAGAGGGCCCAATTTCAAGCTCCAAGCTGACTCGATCTGGTTTTAGGGTACATGGATCAAATTTAAAATTGCCGTCCTAAAAAAAAGAATAATAATTATGACAATAACAATGCAAGAGTGACAATGGTGGTTTTTAGAGAAAATGATGACCTTGGTTGGAAAATTGAATGAACACTCAATTAGATGGCCTTTCACTTTTAGAATACAGCAGACCAATGAGTCAGAATAGCCTTTGTAGGCCGTTTTTGGAGGCCTGCGCATTACTGGGTGTGCCATTAAAACATCATGCAGCCTAGCACACATTTGGAAAGCTAATTTAGGTATTTTTTTTCTCCAAAAAAGTACGATGTAAGGCTGAATACTGTTCCCTTCAATAGCTATGCTCATGACGATGAATGCATTGCCTATTGGTTCCTTTTTCTTGAGGCAAACCTCCTGAGAGCTCTGCGTTGTTTCTGAAAGTAAAATTCTTTCATTTGGATTTGCAACCTTGTCTCAAGCAATTCTTTAGGTGGGCAATATTTCCTGCCCTAACTGCAGCTAGAGTAATATAATGCAAAGGATAAATAGAAAAACGAAAAGTCGTAAAATTATTGAGCCTTGCTCAGAAGAATAAAAGATGCATAAGAGACAAGTTAGTACCTGTGTCCAATGTATTGCGGGAGATTTCCTAGTGCGTTGCATTCTCATTGGTGAGAGTAAAATTTCTTCCTTTTCAGGAGTTGTTATATCAGCCTGAGGAGGTGGTCCAAAAGGCGGCATTGGATGATAAGTATAATTGATTGATAAAGCTACAATTGGCACTGACCAGCAATCTAACCAACCATTACTGAAAATAAAATAATGAGTGGAGAAATATATCAGGACTATTCATAAATTAAGTAAATGTTACCACTCTGACTCATTGTGTAACTTTAGAGCTAATAGTGCATCTTCGCTCTGAATTATTTCCAAATGCATAAGATGGGTTCTTGCAGAGTCATGCTTTTGCAAGACTGAGCCTTCACTGCTTGAAGGTGAGTCTTAAACCTTGCGCATATTGGATAAGGCATCTAATAACCTATCCCTACCAGAGTTTCAAACTAACTGCAAAAAACCAATGCTCTCAGGGAAAAATTACTGTACTGGATACAAAAGTATTGATTGCAGGGTGACAACGCAAGGCTAGTGTGGATAGAAAGAAAAGGGGTAAATATAGTAAGACAAATTAGTTTGGTCCAAAATTAGAGCGCAAAGCTCCAGTTTACACACCTGCTAGGACAAAAGCTCCTAAAACAATACAAAACTTCTACTTTAATTCATCAGCATGTTTGTTTAGAATGACTGACAAAACGACAAATGAAAGTTTCAGCTAAACTGACTGGAAGTCATTCTCTAGAAGGATTTCATCTTGTTTTTAAAATGGGATATTTTATTTAACAAAAACACATGATTTACCTTCTTTTACAGATGTTTCTCCATTTTTTGGCATTTTCCTGGGGTCGAGGGTGTAAGATTGTGCCATCCCTCTGAAGTAGCTTGGCATTCTGATCAATTGCAAGTAAAATGGTTCGACTGGTATAAACTTCATTTAAATATAAGGATAGGTCCATACTTTCTCCTTGTACCCAAAATTTTAATAACAAGCTATTTGGCAAGAAGTCAACAAAAGGCAAGTCGAAAGAAAAATCGAAAAGTTCACCGCAGAATGCAAGATGAGCTGGAAAAAGAGAGGTGAAAGGGTAAATTATTGGCTCTCAAACTGCTGAAGATTGACATAAAAAATGAAATGATTTCAGCTACTGATAGACTATATGGACTTCAGATAAACATGGTCATAAGGGTTAATTGGTAAAAACATATGCCCTCGTATGAACTTAAGGTTTGTAAAATATGTGACCATTGTTCAAGAACCAATGATTAATAACTTGTCCTAAAGAAAAAGAAAAAATGACTAATTTTTGCAATTTCAGGCTTTGTAATTCTGATTGGATGCAAGTATCGACGGTGAAACTACCAGACCACGTATCTCGTTTGCGGTGTTTAAAAATCTCCGCTCACATTTTATTTTTTTGAAGGAGATCAAATCAATATTATTCCTTACAATTTTCGCAGATTTTTCTCCGCACAAAGAAGAAAAATCATGGAAGTTTTCACGAACTGACGTTGAGTTGTTTTCTATCTAAAAAATAAAGTATGACAGGAAGTCTGCGACGTCGCAAACCGAGATACGTGGTTTGGTAGTTTCACCGTCGGTATGCAAAATAAGTCTTTTTACATGAGGAATTCATTGCAGGTAAACTTTTTTGTAAATATATTTAGCCATCAGTCCTTGGAGATGCAGATAGACAGAAAAATGTCATCACTAAAAAGAAAATCTTCTATTTTTTAAAATGTGTATAGCAGAGAATACATCGCTACTCAAATATTATTTGTAACATGATTATTGAAATTTTCTTTGAAAAATTATGTTTACTTTTTTGGATACAACATTAAAATTAAATATTACCATTTTCTTGATTCTGAGAGGAACAGTCAATCCAATTGTATTCATTTCCCAAAGTTAAAACTTCAAATTCCTTCAAAAGAACTGATATTCGCCAAGTGTAGGGTATGAAATACAATAGATCCGGCCTTGACTTTGATGACCATTCATTCACGAGATCTGAAAACGTAAGAAGTCAAATGATGATGAGAAAGCTGTAAAGAGGACATTATTAATATTAATCACTCAGTGAGCTCCGTACTTTCATGACTCAGTCACAGGAAAGTTAAGATAATCAAAGTGAACAGAGTAATAAAAAGAGTAAATTTTCAGGTATTTTCTTACTGATTTTTCTGGTTTACCCCAAAATCTTGCTGCCGCAAAAAAATTAGCTTGGTAATGTTCTTTTATTTCTTTGATAGTCATTTTAAGAGGAAAAAAACAAAAAACAACGAGGAGGAGATTTCTCCAAACTCACCTTGGAAAAATTCTTTATGAGCAAAGATGAACCAGCCAGTAGCTTTGCAGCCAGTTAAATTTAACATCCAATCTTGATGATCGTTCCATTGAATTGGATAATGACTACGTACAGTGAACTCTAGGGTTTCACTCTCAACTAAACTTCGGAACTAATGGGGAAAGAAGAGGAAAAATGGGTGAAAATACTAATAGGGGACAAAGATAATAAGAAAAACAAAAGCAAACAAGGCTTAAGATTTCTAACATATGATATTCATGTAATTTTTTTATTTGAGAAATCAATCGTTGGTATCGTTGAGAACTGACAGAGACTTTATTTTTTTTTTTTTACATGAGGAGCAGTAGGCAAGTTTCTTTGAGTTTTGTAACAATGTAAAAGATAAAACAACCATACAATTTCAAAATTCGGAGACAAACCCTAAAAGTTGCAGCGACCATTTATCAGAATCTTTGGTTGTTCATATTTATCATAATTGAGTAATGTGATCGTTATCTTTTGGATTACAAGAAAAATGTGTAAATTTTTAACAAAACATTTCCATCAAAATTTTAAATAATTACAAAGATATATTTGGGTTGTTGCAATCTCTCCACGAGGACATGTTTTCTCTTCAGTGAATGTATGACAATTTTAGAACCAAAGCAGATACCTACATTATATACCTTAATTAATTAATATCTTAAGAATGTAGCTGAGGATAACAAAATTATACATCCTTTTCATTTATGTCCACAAATATGTTTGTAAAAGTCATTAAACCATAAAAAAATTTTCGTTTAGCACATGATTTAGGATAACAAACATTGCATGATGGTATTACTTTCATTTCTGGTCTTAAAACCCACCTCAAAGAATAGCAGAATTAAATGCTTGTTCAATTCATTTTTTTGTGAGGGAGGGGAACTATGTAATTGACTGAGTTCTCATAAAAGGGCAAAATACTTACTGTTAAACTAGTGGTAGCTTCTAAATGTAATAACTGCCCAGTTATTTTGGTTGTGTATCCATTTGGTGATACAACCCATGGCATTGTAATTTCTAGATAAGAGCCAGGTCCTACGTTTATATGAACAGCATTGGTTTCCTAGAATGTGACATGAATACATAGTGAGCTTGGGTAAATTACAGAAAATTATAACTTTGTTGTTACCACAAAAAAAAAAAAAAAAAAAAAAAAAAATACACAGCAATACTGCAAATTGTTCTTAATATCATGAAATGCCAAATAATGTAGGTCATGACAATGGAACACTAAACGAGGTAAGAAAATAAGTATTCTGCTTCCATGCTTCCTCTTCAAAATTTCACGCTCAAGTCGATTCCTGCGGTGAAAATTACGGAAATTGCTCCTAGATCCTAACCAAAACATTAACGTTTCTGGTGGCACTGGTTACAGAAAGTTTTAAATTCCTGCTATCGAACACAATTAGAGTCTGCGTGAATCAAATTGCGTACTACAATGGTTTCAGCAGGCTTTTTAATCCAGCAAAGTTCCTTCTCTGCCCTGTGTTGTTAAACATGTTAACAAAGTGCAACAGCTAAGCTGAAGTTCTGAGAATGAGGCTGCCTATTTTTACACTACAGAGACTATTCAGGTAACATTAAGTCTGCGATTTTACTCAAGTAGATTATGGTTCTTTTTATGAGCAAGAAGTTCGAATTTATGCATCAAAAGACGTTAATATCTTGATTAGAAGTTACTGTTAATAATTTTTGGTGCACAGAGAGTGTTCTAGGTAAATTTTAATGAGAAAACATACATCATATTGCTCTAATTTGCACCTTCTCTGGTGTTCCATTATTATCATTCTTCAACTTGCTCTTGAATAAGCATGCTTAAAATTTTGGTACTTCTCATTTCAAACCCATTTATTGAGTAAACTTTCGAATTCCTGGTCTGGCAATGTTAATAAAGTTCAGAGGTAAAAAGTTTCCTAATTGACATAATAAGTAATTGCATAAAAAAGTCAATGGGCCACTAGACAAGGTACAAATTTAAACAATCTGATACATGTTTCTTAGCAAGAATTTCACGTAGAACACGATTCACACAACAAAAATTACTGAAACCAACTCCTAACAAAGATATTAACGTTTTTATTTCACATTGGTTACGAGGAATTTGAACTGCCCGCTCACAAGAAACTCAAAGCTCAACGTGAGTCAAATCGCGCACTACAATGGTTTCAGCAAGCTTCTCAACCGAGCAATGTTCATTTCCCGCCATGTGTTTTTCAAACGATATGCAATTTGCTATAGCTGAGTCAAAGCGTCAAGATTGAGGTTGCCCGATTTTTATATCACATGTCATGATAACGTTTAGCGTGCGATGTGAATCACGTAGAGCATTGAGTTTTCGTGAGCGAGTGGTTTGAATTCACGCATCAGGAATCATTAAATATCTTCGTAAGGAGTTGATTTCGGTAATTGTCGTTGTGCGTATCGTATTTTACGTGAAATTTTGGTTAAGAAACATGCATCAGAATGCTGAAATTCGTACCTTGTCTAGTGGTTCATTATTGCCATTATTAGAGAGAGTCAGCTTTTTAAAGGACACGATTATTCCATTTAAAAGTGAAAGAATGGGTTTCTTTGACTGAACCTGTTGCCATTTGTACTAGATAAAATAAACTGCAAACTAAAGAGAGAAATAAACTAGATAAGAATAAACTGAGGAGAGAAATTGAATTTTTTCCCCCTTGTAAGCACTTGCCTTGTTTTTTGTAAATAAAATGTCAATAGTTGCTTCATAAAGTGTACTTAATCTAACATCAAAAGATTGAACAAGTCTTTTTTCTCCGGGACGGGGTGCTGGGGTAACCTAAGAAAAAAATAAACAATGAGAGTTAATATTCAATTGGATCTAGCTTCAATATTCAGGGAGACACTTAGCATCATTACATCTGAATAAAAGAATATTGCACATTCCCTTCAGAGACAATAATCTTAATTAAATTACTTGCTGACAAGCATAATAAACAAATGTAGTACTTCTTTTTTTTGGGAAAATTCAGATTCTTGAATCATAAATTATAGGCTCATAGATGTACGTTCAACATTTAGTATTGAACATTGCATTCACTGAACATAATCTTCCTTTTTTTCTTGTAAACATTTACTGATGTTAAATAAAATTATTATAGATTACAGATAACTTACTTTTAAAGGTTGATAATCTGGGGGAAAGAAAAATTTGAACAGGTGTTCCCGTTGACGATCAGCCCAAGGACCATAGCTGAAATCTGTACCTTTTCCACACTGTAATTGATTGAAAAACATTAATAAATAAAGAAAATGGCAGAAGAGTCAAATAAAAGAGTTCAATAAACATTAAAAAGGCGATAAGCAAATATGTGTTAGTCAGCTATGCTGGCAGAGATGTAAGGGGTCTGACAAAACTGGAAGGAATGAAATAAATATTTCAAGATATTCTATGCTCATAACAGTACATCCGCAATTTCCAGACATGGCACTGAACAATTTGGATAAATGTAGTTTAAATTAACCAAAGCTTAGACAACATTTGTCGCTTGTTCTGTCTATTTCTCTCCCAGCATCTGAATACAATAGTTTACTTACTGGACGAGGACATCTATTACAAGGCTATGGCAATGAAAACACTAAAAAGCTCAAGTGCAAATAAAAACTTACAATAATAGAGGTGTGGAAATGTAAAACCTGTGACTAACATCCATGGTGACTGTATCACCATTCTCGTATGTTTCATGAAAACCCTGTTTAACGCAAGTAAAGCTTTTTCTCCGCAAAGAAAAAACTCAACTCTTGACTTAATATTTCCACTTTTACTTAAGGGCACTACCTTGACTAGCTTGATAAAAAAAAAGAAAAAAGATTTAAAAAATACCTTGATGTCAATGCCCCAAATAGGTGGTGCTGATTCAACAATATCACCATTCGCTAATTGGAGCATTTCAGGCTCCTCAGGGACAAGTCCTGGTTCATCCATATAGTGGTAGAGTTCAATATTATTGGAAGACAGCACTACAAAACCAGCACCCATGTATCTGGGTGGATCATCAGCCATGCCAGTGTACTTAGGACTAGGAGCTAAAATAACCTAAAATCAAATCAAATCATTACAATGACTGGGCACACAAATGAAACAAATAAGCACACATATTTTTCTAATTTTGATAGAGAATTGTCATTCATCAGACACGCATTACAGTTTCAAGTCATTTGTTTACATGGATGGGCGATAGGCATAACTCTCTGTAGCCCCTTTTTTCACCCACTCCTGATGCCAAAAAACATTTTCCAAATACCTTTTTCCTTGGATTTTTCTTTGATGTTGGATTTTGGCAATTTTGCATGAACCCTTTTTCATCGAAGAGTACTGTGAGTACTTCTACTGTGCATGCAAATGTGAGTTACTTTTGATTATGGAACAGAGCACATTCCCTCCCATGGCCTTCATATTTATTTGTCATTTTAGGTATCTTTCCTTCCAAAACCAAACATATGATAAGAAAACATTAGCACAAAGAAAAAATCAGGCATGGATGCCCCTATCTTACCTTAAAGTTTTCAGCTTTACACTTAACAAAGTGCATAAAATGATCCAAACGCGATGCTGCTGGTTTTGTAGAATAAACAAAGTGGGCTTCTTCTACATTGATTGACAGTGTTGTTGGGACTAAGCGATTTCCAAATACAACACGGCCCTGATAACAACAATTGTGACAATTGATTTCAAATCATATCGTACCAAATTGGGAGATATTTTTTCAAAAACACAATATGATACATTGTAGTTTAACGCATGAAGACTTAGAGAAAAAGCTTAAAATAGGGCAAAATGCCATCCTCAAAAAAATTAGAAGTTTTTGGCTTACACACTTCTTCAAAGTAGAGATACAGAATCTACCTGGTATTGTGTAATCCTCCCATATTGGGTACATCCCCGATCTAAGAATTAAATGAGGAGGTACCTAGATGGAAAAATGAGATTACCTGAATTTACAATAATTCTTCTTTGTTTACCTTTAAGAGAGAATATGACTATCTCTGCATCACTCTCTGATTGATCATGCTGCAAAAGGGGTTCCATGGAGATTCCAAGGCCATGTATGAAAAGGAAATGACTTTTTTTGATACACAGGTTTCTAAAGTTAGGTATATTCTTGACAGGATCGTCAATTAAATAGTTTTGGTTTCAGTATGTTTTCTCTTTAGCTTTGCTTCTGCGGCCCAGTAGATAATTTTTCAATTTATTCAAGATACAGAACGAGATCATAAATAAACGCATACTTACAGATGAGACATCTGTCTTAATGACGGGAATAAGGTCCCTCCAACTCTTCCCCAGGGAAGCTTTATGCTGCCCTCCTGGATCATCAGTTTCATCTTCATCTCCTATAAAACAGATGCAAAAGTATCATCACACACAAATGATGAAAAATGATGAAACAGTGAGAAAAAGAGAGAAAAATACATGAAAATTAAGTAGAAGTTATTATCTTACGGTCAAAAGTTGTGCCATATTTACATATATTTTTTAGAATGAGACAGCTATTTCTAACTCAGAATATTTGCATTACACCTCTAACTTTGAAATACTTACTTCTGCCTTTGTCTACACTTTTATCAAAATGTTTCTTTCCTGAATTAAAATTAAGAGGAGCAAGTAAGTATGACAAAAAGAGGAGGAAAATAAATTTTTAAACATAGAACAATAGCATTCAACTGAAATTTTTCAACCAGACAGTTAGAACTTGCAACAAATAAGTCGCAGTTGTTTACAATCTGTTTGCAAGTGACTGCGTTACAGTCGTACGATAGTTATTGAGGACTGATTGCAAGTAACGCTGCTGCCATGCACAGAAAAAAAAAATTGGTCTACTAGAATTGGCCTACTGCGCAAGACAGTCAAAAGTAGATAACTGCCACTTATCCGGTGCCAGTTTTACATACCTTTATCATCCAGTTCGTCAGGTGGAATAATTGTTGGTTCAAATCCGAATAAACGTTCCAAACTACTGTATATTCGACATCGATTGTACACATGCAATTCAAATCCGTTTAACATCACAGACAGTCTTGTATCGGAATGCGATAAATCTGTGGGCAGACAAAAATAAGATTATAAATATATAAAATGGAAAAAGAACTGAATAAAAAAAAACACACACAAGCTCACCTGTGATTTAAATCCTACAATCTATTCCTGACACAAAATTAAAAAAAAAACAAGTAGCAAAAGCTACCTGCTGAGGGGGCGCCGCCCCCNTGCAAATTCCTCGCACATGTAACATCTCCATTGGGCCAAAATGCACCGATATCAATACCTCATATGTTACTTGGTTCCTCGAAAATTCTCCTCTTGGACTTAGCCTAAAAGTGTGGACACTTTTTAGCCTCCGGCGAAACCTAGAGTCTATACGGCTTCGCCGCACGACTAAAAAGCAGTTTTGGTACGGTGACAGATGATTTTCTGACCTGTTTGTGATAAAATAATCAGTGGTTATAAACTTTCTTTTCTACGCTATTCTCTCTATTCTACACAACCTTCTTTCTGTACTATTATTTCACAGATTCTGGATGTCTACTGGTACTTTATAATTTAAATTCCTTGCTTTGTCATAACCTTGTCCCGATAATCTACAATATTCTATGACAAAAAAATTATGAAAATTATGGCATCCCTTAAAAAAAATGAAGTTAGCTTTAACTTTGAGTCGCAAGTAAATAATTCTGAGAAATTTGCATTCGAAAAGTAAAAAGGAATGATTTAGGTCTTCCCGGAAAGACCATGAAATGAAAATGATCAGACATTGTTGAAAAAAAAAGTAAATTGAATGTGAAACTTGGAAAATCTGCAATGCTGCAAAGCGAAATATAGAGCTAATGGTTTCACCCTTGACATGCTACAGTTACTGTAAATAATGATGTAAGATACCAGAAAATAGAGAAATTGATTAAGTTAGTTGAAGTGCCATCCTAGATTTATTTGACATAGAATCACTGAAGGACACCACCTGATATGGATATTACAATGAATAAGGCAATAACTGCAACTTCACACTCAAGAAGGAGCAAATTACATGCCTGATGATTTACACTAAGGTGTTTCTGGGAGACTACTTGGACTTTGATACTGAAAAGTTTTTAACTTACCTTCAGAAACATCCTTCGGGACATATGACCTCCACCATCTAAAAATAAGCCACCCATCCTGAACCCTGACTGTGTAATCGTGGGTTATGTACACTATATCTCGAAACATAATTTTTCCTGATAGGACACAAACGGTAAATGAACCTGTGGAGCATACAAAAAATTGCAATTAGTACTCAAAGAAATAGTATTATTTATACTATCAGTAGTTTGTCAATATCCTCTCATGAAGAAAGGATAATAATGACAAGAATTCAATGGAATTAAGTCTTGCTTTCATGGCAAGAACTCTGCTGATTACTAGCGCAATGCCCAAAATTAAAGGCATGGTGATGAGAAATCACGTTTTATTCGTCCGTATGGTACAGATGAATATAATCATTTTGTATAATTTTTATTGATTTATTGTTGATAGTTACCTGTAATGATGTGACTTCTTTTTACTTTTTTTAACAATAAAACCTCAAGACTACCACCAGTTATTCTATTTGCTTGGTTTTCATGGATCATATTTGAATATCCCACTTACAATAGCCCACCAAGAGACTAGTTTGGCTTATGCCTTGACACGCTGTCACTGTCTATCAGATAGTTCTCGCCACTATGGATGCTTTTTTTATGCTTGTTAGTATGACTCCTTTGTTGTAGCCAGGCTTCACTTTCTCCTGTGTATTGCTGACCAATGTGCCTTTTTCACATATCGACAGTGAAACTACCAGACCATGTATCTCTATTTGCAACACCGCAGACTTCCTGTCGTACTTCATTTTTTAGATGGAAAACTACTCAATGTCAATCCTTGAAAACCTCCATGATTTTTCTTCTTTGTGTCAAATAAAAATCTTTGAAAACTTCAAGGAATGATATTGATTTGTTCTCCTTCACAAAAATAAAATGGGAGCGGAGGTTTTTAAACACCGCGGACAAGATACTTGATCTAGGAGTTTCACCATCCATATGTAGTCTAAGACCACTAGCCTTCCATGCTATAATTGCAGGATAGCATAAAATAGATTGTTTGAGGAAAATGAAAGTTACTCACCCACACTAAGATACCCTTTAGTGACATAAAATCGGGTCAAAAGCCTTGTTACGATGTATCCAGTCACCCTGGAGTTGTAATAGGAAATGTAAATGGCCCATGCCATTGCAGATATAAGTGAGCACATTAGCCAAGCAAAGTTGCTGTCCATGTGGACATCATTAGGAAGGAAGCTACATGATAGGGTACTATTGTCTCTAGAAAACCATTCGCAAGGCTGCTCCGTTGCCAGCTCAACTTCGAGTGCCGTCATGATGAACTGTTACTTAAACAACTCTGAAACAGATGATATTTCATTAATATGCTTCACTTAGTTACTCTGTACACTTAGGTAGAATGGTTTTGAGATGAAATTATTTTTGAAACATCTTGAGACTTTGGTATGGCAAAAATTCAAGCAAAATTTTTACTTTACTAACTATTCTGCAATTCATTCCTTAAGCATACAACAATGATTAGTTCTTTCTGGATGTTATTTTGGCTACATTAAGCATTATGGATATGTAAGAGTATAGGGTATACTTATGTCAGAGTTCCTTTTAGCTTGACAAATTCATCACATTCGACACAAAATGTATTTTTCAAGTAGTTTTTTAAAAACAGTAAGTCCATACATCTTCAGTTTTGACACATACTAAATTTATGGATTTGATGAATAAAGCTGAACCCCTTTTCTAATCTCAAGAATTGAGATCAAAAACATTTCTGAAAGATTACTCAGACCGCCTTAAAACTAGGAGCCTATGCTTGAGATCTTGGAGACTCATGACTGAGGATCCACAGGTGCATCTTGAATTTTTTCAAAGATGCCTTAACACCACAATAATCAATAAACATCAATTTTTTTTTATTCGTTTGACTGGTAGAGTGGGACTAATTTTCCCGGGTGAAACCATAAGGAGAAAACATGGAGAAGGCCGAACAAACCAAGCCAGAAAGTTAGGTTAGCAGTTACTGATAAGGGAGTCTGCAGTACATTACTCATACAAATACGACATGTGGTACATGATTCTCTTCCACATGATGGGCTAAAAATGGCACATAATAGTCATGCACTTTGAAAGAAGTGTTGAACGATCATGAAACCTTAGAACCAGACCTTGGGCTTATCAGTAATGATTCTTCACAAGGATTAGATTTCATATCCTGAATCTCCTACAGGACAATCAAATTTTGAGATCATTCTAATTACACGTAAATATAAAATTGAAACAGAAAATCCTCGTGTTGATGGATTAGGAGGACCGATTTCTAACGATTGTATTGAGTACTCGTCATCCAGATTACACCTGTCTTATCGGCAGGGAGAAAACTGCCTTAGGGAGAATTTCATAGCCTCCCAGTGATCGCGAGATAAAGAGTATGAAATCAAAAATGAAATTGGCGTCATAAATTACTGAAAATTGATTGTGAATAGCTGCTGGTACGGTGAAATAGACAAATAAAGTCGTAATTCCGTAAATCAAAGAAAAACATTAGTCAAAGATAACCTACAAACACTATCACCAGATCCAACAACGGGAGAGTTTAAAGCTGGAAGTATTCATGTGCCTCGAAATTACATTATTGTTGAAGGTTTAAGAGAAAACTTGGCTGGTGCAAAGTTCTTCAGAAGTACTATTGAGTATAAAGATTCACTAAACAAAGCCATTTTTGCAGCCACAGATGAAAAAAACAAAAATTGATATTTGATATTATGGAGTTACTATTCTGATAGAGAAGGGGAGAGATGCAACTAATTTACGATACTGAATGCGCCGTTTTCCACTGCAACCTGTAGTGCTGCTGTCGCCAATGAGAAGCGGCACCTGCGCGGCTTGTCATGAAAATAACCAATGAACAGTCAGAATAATGCTCAGGCGCTCTTTGCGCTTAGAGAATAACGCACCCCAAGTTGCAGCACAGTAAGGCGCATCTTGGGCCCCTACTCAGTTGACAGGCCCCATTATTACAAGACTCTCTGTTTACCAGTCGTTATCAGTTTATCACTGTTCATGATTCATTCATCCTTCTTATCATGTAAAAGTGTGAAAGCAACAATGAACTCCTCAACTTCCGAGGAACTTCCTTACGACTATTGTTTCATGTGGATTGATTAATTTTAACATCAAATGTTCTACCTTGAAGTGACCAATTTTTTATTTTAAAATTGTTATCCTAATCCTACACATATTCTCTCCATTCTTTTTTCATGATCAGGCAGGGTGAAGTTTTGTTCTTTGTCCAGCCTCTCTTTGTTGTGAAGTTCAGATGAATGTTATTTCTGGCTCTTTAAGCAATTAAAGTGAAGCATGTCTTGGTTTCGAAATATTTCAAATTTCTTGTCGGTTGAGACCGATAAGAATAAAGTCATTGAAGTGAAATCTGATAAGTACGTTCAGTGGTTGGTAGTTGAACGCGGTTCAAAAGGAATGATGTGGTATAGCAAAGGCAGTAAAAATGGAAGTACAGACCATGAACTTGTACTTCATTTGCCCTCAGCGCAACATTCCTACAGGTTTGTATGAATGATTTGGCCCTCATGTTTGAAGTCAGCCATTAAGTTCTGCTCTCACCAAAACTATTGCAAGTGGCAGGAAAGGTTTACATTAGTACTTGCTTATATTAAGCATCAGTAATTTTTCAGTCTGATGGGTATTCTGAGGTGTGGAAATTAAATACAATCACAACAAAATATAATCATTACATCTCTGTACTTAATCTGCTGTGAAAAGAGTCTCTGAAAATGGGTCAGTTGCGCTGGTCACAGAATCATGTTTTGATGCTTTATTCTTGCAGATCAACTAAAAGTAAGAAGATCTGTCCAAACAGCAACTTTCTAAGTTGAATATTAACCGATATATTGAGCCTTGAAAAACTCGATTTATGATGTCATCCACCGCGGTCGCACATACCATGTTACGCACTACCTACCACGGTAGATGATGTCAAAAACCCGACTTTTCAAAGGACAATATCTGGGTTAACATTCAAGGAAGAAAGTTGCTGTTCGGGCAGATCTTCTTATGTTTAGCTGATCTACAAGAATCAAGCATCAAAACACAATTCTGTTACCAGCGCAATTGGCCCATTGAAGGCCTAACTCAAGCCTGCATCTCAAGTCAATCAAAAAAATTTCTGAAAATTTAATACTATTCGAGATACGAATCAGATAAGTAGATAGATAGATAGATTTATTCTGGAAAAAAACGTAAATAATTACAACAATTACGATCAATTAGGTACCAACTAATTACTACTTCCTATGGTTTCAATGTTTTTGTCCTCCTTATTTTATATGAAACATTGCATCATGGTGCCCATTTTCTCCCCCTATTTGGTGATTCATTTGGTGAAAAAAACATTACATATGAATCTCACTTTTGAAATATGTTTCTCAAATTTGTTTTTAATGTTTATCTTTAATAATTGTCTCATGTGAAGTATTGTGGTTTTTTAATCTCTGAATTCTGATTCCAGCCTTTTCCGTAGCCAAGACTCGGAGGAAGCTGCTCAAAGGTTTTCCATCCTTAATGAAGTATTACCGGCACTGGTAGAAGTAGCAAGTGAAGTAAGTGTCTATCAAATGTTCTCCTAATTTTCATTAGACTCAAACCTCCTCAGTAAGAAAAACTGTAGGCGGTCCAGGCCTAGCTCATGACAGTCTCAATGAGAGCTATTTGAAAATGAGACCAGTCCTTTTTAAAATAATTCCCACAATTTATTGTTATGTACACAAAAGTGTACGTGTATGATTTAGGTGTAGGTATGAAGTTCTAGTGTTTTTCTATGTTGTTTCATTTGTTTTGATGGTCAGGGTGTGGCCAAATAAAGTATTAAGTTAGTAATTCTTTCAAGTTGTACTTTAAGTGGTTTTAAGTTGTACTTCAAGTTGCCACTCCACACCACGAGCTACACTTAGGGTGGAGATGGAACATTTCTGCAATTATTTATGTTTTTTTCAAAATGAATAAAATCCAATCTAATCTATTGAAGAGATGAACTGACAACCAGATTCAACTGCTCTGCATTCAATGAGTGACTTGCTTTGAAAGCTAATGCTGAATATTAAATTGAGAAGAGAAAATAAATTAACTGAATAATGAATGACCGATGAAAGTTAGCTGCTGCTAAGGTAACAATCATGATGTGCTAATTCGAAAATTTTTGGAGAAAGGAAAGAGGTGATCAAAATGTTACCATGATGCAAGTATTTGCACAATTTCTACAAAGGTCATTGAGATCTGGAAAATCTATTTCCTAAAAAATCATTCATTCAAGTAGAAAATAATTTTTGTCTTATCTCCCGTGCCTCTCTCAATCTTCACAACTTACGCATACGCGCAATGGTATATACATGGTATCACAAAAACTATTGTGCTCAACGACTCAGGAACAATTTCATATGTCTCACTGTAGAAGCTATGATATCTTATAATGGAGGAAGAATTGTCTCATTCTTGTGTATGCTATTTACTTACAGGTATGCAATCTAAATGGAATTCAACGTATTTGTGATACACTTGTAGAGAATCCTTATTGGACCTTAGCACATTTAGCCGTATACCTAGACCTTTTTGATATCATAGGGACCCCGGCTGTAGCTGAGTAAGTGACACCCTCTCTTTATTTTTTAGCTCTTACCTACATTTTTAATTTGTATAAGATTTGGTGAAATTTTAAGATGTCGCGTATGGAAAAATTGTGCAGTGATTTCAGTATGTATATTGTTTGCAGTCAGTAAAAAAGAGAGGCTACTAAGAACAGCTACCTGGTAATGTTCCTAGTTTTAGAGAATTTTCTAGATAGGCTCCTTTTCAATAAAGAAACACTCATTTTTTTTCATTGCAAAATTTACTGTCGCAAAATTTCCTGTAAAATGCTTGCAGGAATCCAAGGAAAAGTGTCCAAATTTTTCCAACCTAACAAGTTTGATGCAATCACAAAAATCGAAGGAAAAATCCAATTTTTTTAAATTAATATTCAGAATATTCAGAGAAGCTAAGGTCTTTCATCTTTTTCTTTCTCTCCAAAAGGTTCAGGAATTTCGCATTTTCTGCATACTTGATTTTCTCTGAAATCTTTAATTATTTTGTTTATAAATTATTTCCAGTTGCATAAATGCTGTAGATCCTGTAACTGGATTAACACCCTTACTCTTGGCGTTGAAGAGCACTCAAACAAGTGATAAACTAAAAATAATAAAATTGTTGCTGATTCTTGGAGCTGATTCCTCATATGTAGATAAAGATGAAAATTCTACTCTCCATTTTGCAGCAGATACATCGAAAGAAATCATCATGGTACTGTTTTTTTTTTATATTGTCTTGGTTTTAGATGCTTGAGTTACAGAGCAACCTCATTGGTTCATTGACTAAAAATTAGAGTATTTGGGCCAAAGATTGTGGATTTAACACTTGCACTCATTTCAAGTTTTGGAGGTCAGTCCCTGTGAATATATTTGGGTTTTTTTTTATGAAATTATAAATCTCACAAGTTCTTTATGATTCCACTTTTAAACCTGCTCATGATGTCTGAGATGCAACTAAAATTGGGATCATAGTGCTAGTAGCTAGTAGCCAAGCGCTCTTGCTTAGAAAAGAGAGGGAATATTTTCTCTATCTCTACGTTAAGTTGGGCCAATTGTAGACTACAAGTCAAGGTGCTTGGAATTAAAACTTTCTATTTTGCAGTTCTGATAGAGACAGGTTCATTAAAAGGTACGTAAAATAATAATTAAATGAAGAAGGAATATGATACATGAATAATAATGAAAAAATATTTTTCTTTCATCTTCATAGGCACTCACAGAAAAATCAACAACACACTTAAATTTAAAAAATAAGAAAGGATTTACACCCCTTCACATTGCCTGTTACGAAGGAAAGCCTGAATGTGTAAAAGCTTTATGCGCAGCCGGTGCCAACGTTAACATCGAGGCCTCCATTACGGCTGGTCAGTCATCATCTCCTCCTGCGAGTTCTATTGGCAATTTTCTAGATCAGCAAGCAAAGTTATCCAAAGAAGTAAGTTTAGACTCTCTTTATTTATCAAGATCATTCCAAAAGTAAGTTTGCTCATTTTCTTTCTCCAAAACTAATGAGGATATTCTCATTTGGAGAAAAGGCTTTTGTTCCTCTTACCCTCAGCTGATAAAATGATCCAGTAGATCACTGTAGAAGTAAATTTTATTGGGCCAGTCAGTGCACTCTGTGTTCCTGAAAATGGAAAATTTGGGAATGACAAAAATCTATACCTAAAATGAGGACCAGTTCAGGGTGTCTAGGAACCGGAAAAATCAGGGAGAGGAGACAAGTAATCAGGAGATTAAAGGAATAACGTGGAGAGGTGCAAATCACCATGCAACATTTAGATTTTTTGAATAACTTCATAGCGCGATACTTCAATACAGAGCCCCTCAGCACTCTTTTCTGGTCTGTTGTGAATTTTTCCCCTTGTGTCCCAGTCAGAATTTCGTTCATAATTATGCTTATTTTACTGTACTTGTGTTTCATTTGATTTGGGTAAAAAAAGATCAGTTAGAATTGAGAAAAGTCGAGTAGACAAAAAATTCGAGGGTCAAGAAAAACCTGGAAAGTCAAGAAGATGGGGAAGGACATTTTTCTATACATCCTGCAGCTCTATGATAGCAATTGGAAGTCTTGTCTCACCCTGTTATACAGCCCCCTCTTCTCTCCGATTCCTCTCTGATACTGCAATTTTAGCCTCTTGGCTCCAGGTGACCCGAGTCTGATGGTCTCAAACAACGGTTATATGAGGCTGGCTAGAATAGGGATGGAAGGGGGGATGAACTTTAGGGACAGTAAAGCGCAAAATTATCCCTCATGGGATATTTGAAGTGAAAAAAAAAGAAGTAACTGATAGTTTACATCAACTTTGATGCCTTTTGCAGGATGTAAAAATGGGCGGCACACCCCTTCACTGGTGTTTATCCCGAGAAGTAATAGAAGTCTTAGTGACCATGAACTGTGATATTAATGCTCGTAATTTTAATGGTGCTCCTGCTCTTCATGTGATGGTAAATTAAATTATTTTCACCCTCTAGATTTTAAGAAGTTAGTGACAATACTCATGGAATCATCAATAGTTTATTGGAATTGAATCATTTTGAATCCTCAGGACTCTAATGTTTGTTTGAATTGAGCTTGAACCTCAAAAAAATTTACTTTAAGTCAATAATATGTAACTGATAGCTGAATCAGTCCACACCCTTTGATTATTGTAATGGGCCCAACAGGTGGATTTGTGTAAAGTACAGTCCAAGTAAATGTACCAAAAAAGAAAAGGAACTCATTATGGACCATATTAACATTATCATCATGCATAAAAACTGTCAATAAATACACAAAATACAGAATATACATTATGGATTTTTTGACCTTGCACCCCTTCCCCATAACGCGATTGTGATGGTCCGGCGATCCCTATCCTTGAACTTGTAAAAACAAAAGAAGCGTAACACTCTTCTCGACCCTCCTTCCCCTCAGAGCATTACGTACACTGAAAAAATTAAATTGCTGATTTAACAATTCAATTACTAAAACAAGTGACTGCAATATTTCCAAGTAGATTTTACTACAAAAAAATGCTACTTTAACCACCTCTGGGTTAAATTAGCTTACAATAGTGGTTAAAGTAGCAATTTTTTGTCGTGAAATCTACGTTGAAATATTGCGGTCACTTTTTTTTTGCAATTGAATTGTTAAATCAGCAATTTAATTTTTTCCATGTATTTTAATAGTGTCCCCCAAGAGTTTTCAGGGCAATGTGAGAATTTATGTAACTATTTATATTTTTAGTAATGTGGTCCTTTTCCTTTTCTTTTTATTATACTTTTCATAGGAACTTGTGCGATTTTTGCTTACAATCACACATTCTTGAAGATTTAACTTTTTCAACTCCTCAACAAGCAACATCAAATGTAATCACTTCCTACCAATGAATAGATTATTATAATGTATAATTAAGAGACTACATGGGCCTATGAATAAATGGATGTATAATAAGTAACAGATACTCAACATGTAATTTATCATAAAATATGTATAATGAGAGAAAAAAAATAGCATGCTTATAGCGAGCTTCTCAGGCACATGTGAGATTTCAAGTAACTTCTAAGTCACTTCTTTATGTAATGCTTGATTTTCAGCCTTTATATCAAACTTTTTTTCTCTGTCTATTATATTTTCCTTCATTCTTCATTTTGAACATTTTCAGATATTGCGCGAGAGATTCGAATGTGTTTTAGCTCTCTTATCTTTGAATGCTGATCTCGAAATAAAAGACAATAGTGGTCAAACAGCCCTGATACTAGCTGTTCAACAAAAATCAATTCCAATCATACAGGCTCTCATAGTATTTTATGTCAACCTTGATTCTGTGTAAGTATTCCTCAGACATTCCTCTGACAGTTTTTTTTTTTTTTTTTTTTTTCAATATTTTTTTTCTCTGTGCAAGTAAAAAATTGAGCCCTGCCAACAGTTTTTAAAAGTTAGAGTTAAGATAGTTATGTTTTGTGTTTCTTTAAATTTCATCTTACATAGTAAGTGTAGTAGGATTTTTTTTTTTGGTTTTATCCCTCAAACGTGATCTATTTGACCGCAAAAGATCCTGTGTCAAATTTTAGCTAAATCAGATGTTATTAATCACTGCCTAGCTAGGTGTTTCTCACATTTTTTTTAGCTTGAAAAATACATATTTTTCAGATTCCAAGATAGTAACAAAGCAATGCCTATTTCATAGCATGGTTTTGTCATGGCTAACTAGGGTTCCCCCTCTTGATCCTTAATGACTTCATAAGTAAATATTTTTTGCTGACTGTGCCGAGATGATGAGTTTACCCTTTTGATGCAACCTAATGGTGCTTTTGAGCTTTTTACCATAAGCTTCTCACTTTGAAATGATGAAATATTAATGCAGTTTCAGGTTTACAGCAGTGTTGAAACTCATTTGAACTTATCATACGTACTTAAATGTAAACTTCTTCATTAAGAGTAGAGACAGTCCTTAAAGCTGTTGAGAAGGATTTCTTTTTCAGGTTTTACAGGTTCTATTACAGCTTATCTCATTTTACATTTCATATTCTCAAGGTACAATTTAACTAATATATTTCTTTCTTTCTTTCTTTCTTTCTTTTTCTAGGAATAACAGTGGCAACACAGCTCGACACATTATAGCCTCTGAATGCGAGAAAAATTCAAGTGGAGATGTGCAATCAACTGCTGCCAAAATCCTTTACCTACTCCATGCAGTAGGAGCAAAGCGGTGTCTTGTTGCTACTCCTGAATGTACCTCTGGATGTTTGCCCGGCGGTGATTTTGATGGCATTCCTCCTCCTCCTCCAAAAATGCTGCCCGTAATTTATTTCACGTCTTACAATTTATTTTTTCTTTTTAGATGAAGTACTAACAAATTGCAATAAATACTAGATTTTTTCATGATTTTACAAATGGCATTAATAATTGCTGAAAACATCAGTGAGCAATTGAGTTGATATTTTTTTCAAGGGAACAAACGTCAAAATCCTAGTTTCAAGAAAAATTAGGAAGACTGCCATTTGGCGTGAGCTCAATCTTTTAAGCCCAAAAAATGTATGTGTCTAAAAAATACCTATTGAAAGTGGGCTCAATTTATTAAATTGTGAGCTTTCATTGATGTCTACTTTATCAACAGGAATTTCATTGACATCTACTTTATCAACAGGTCCGTCATGTCCAAGCCTTATTGGAGAAGGTTGTTGAAAGTGCAAATGAAAGTGCGATGAACAAAAAGGGCCATCGAGTGTTGTGTTTGGACGGAGGAGGTATACGTGGGCTGGTGCTGATTGGAGTTCTTCTTCATTTAGAAATGGAATTAGGTTTGGGATCAGTAATAAATTATTTTGATTGGATTGCTGGCACAAGTACTGGTGGAATCCTTGGTTTGGCATTAGCTGCAGGTACAACATCTTTTTCAAAATTCCATATTTTTATTTTTCTTCCTCATCTGATCATTTCTTAGCAATAATTACTTTGGCCTTCAAATTGAATTCTAGTTGAAAACCAAGTGTTTGAATTTCTATTTCTATTTCTCCCTTTTTTTCAAGTAATAACTTTTTAGAAATGCTTTGTAATTAAGAGTAAAATGTTTAATTTAAAGTTTAGTCCCCCCTTTTTATAAGTGGCCTTTTAGTTTTTTACTGTTAATCTATCATTATTTATCAGGGAAGTTGATTAATGATTTTCTCCTCTGTACAAAAGAGATTTATGGAAAAAAAGAAGGAAAGAAAAAAAATTATTGTTGGATTCTCGTTGGGAAATGCATTTATGAAATTTTCCCTTCTTTTATGCAGGAAATTGACGAAGGAGAAGAAATCAATCAGTCATTGCTTTTTTGAAATTTTTGTTGGAGCTTCAAAGTCTCGATTTACCTGAGTAGAAAAAACTTTGGCAAATAAATTTGGAGATTATATAAAGAGGGGGAAGTAGGAGAATTTTTCAGAGTAAGTGCTCTCTGAACCAAGTAATTTTGATATTGGCTTTCAAGCATAGAAATTAAATTAACAAAAGCTTTAAAATAGCTTCTACGTTTCATCTTCTTGTTTCTTTTGTTTTTTGCCCTTCAATAGGTAAAAGCCTGAGGGAATGCTTGTGCTTGTACCTAAGAATGAAAGATATTTGTTTTCGTGGAACACGGCCATACGATTGCACTCCATTAGAAAATTTGCTGAAAAGTACTTTTGGAGAAACCTCTGTTATGGCAGATCTTCTTCCTTTCAAGTAAGCCAAATAACTCAGCTTTTTCCTATTCAAGATTTTAAAAGAGGTTCGCCTTTCAGAGAAGAATGGATTAATATATTGCACCATCAACAGTTTTATTTGCAACAGAGTAAAAAGAGAATATTTTCATGAAGGCAAAGAATTGAAACGTCTGATCTCGGCAAGAAGCCGCCAGCCTCGGGCCAGACTCCTTTCAGTATCATTTCCATCTTGTTCATTCCGTATCTTTACCTTAGGTCCCTTGTCAACGCCTTCAGTCTACTGATAGCCAAAAATTTCTCAATCCTTTTTTTACATTTTCCCTTCATTTCAATGGATTCGGATTTAATTTGCAATCCTGATAACAAATATATATATACACATTATGGGTAAGTATATTGGTAAGTTTTTGTATCCTAAAACTTCCCTTTTTCTTCAATGCGTTTTAACTACTTTTCGAGTTTTGTTATGCAATAACTTACGAATATACTTACATACAATAAAATTTACTTTTCACCAGGATTGCAAATTGAGTCTAGTTGAAATAAAGAGAAATTTTACAAATTTTAAAAAAATTGGTCCGCAAAGTTTTTGGCAAGTTTTTGACAAGGCTGTCGGGTAAAGACGTGATACGGACAGTTGGAATAGTGCTGCGATGAGTCTAGCCCGGGACCGACGGCTCCTTGCCCGGGATCTGATGTTGCAATTCTCTGGTTGCATGAAAATGCCTCTTGTTTTACTCTGTCTATTTTAATTGCCCAGACTATAGAACATTTGTACTTTGGCTTCTTGGTGGCTTAATCTTGAAACCAGAGGCAGGACTTAGACGTGAACTCCTGAGTGATTTGACTACTTTTGATTTTAACCCTTGTGACTGCCTAATTCTAGGTGGCAATAGCCACCCCAGCCCAATCCTAATAGACTTCCCCTAAAAAGTTGATGAAAAAAAAAAAAAAAAAAAAAAAAAAAAAAAAAAAAAAAAAAAAAAATCTAGGAGCTAAAATCAACTTTGATACTAGTTGTTCGTCTTTTTTTTATTACAGGTGGCAAAATAATTTGTAGGTCAACTAAAAATCCATTTTTCCAATAAATAATTTGACTTTCAAGTCATTAAATAATTTTTTAACAGATTTAGCTCTTTTGCTGTGGTTGTGGAGAAAAAATGAATGCCAGTCCAATTGTCTGGTGAAAAATTTATGAAATGCACTACTTAATAGTAAAGCAGTTGGCTGAAGTCTTAAGGACTGATAGAGGAGGAATCTGCGCAAAGACTCAGCTTCCTCTGCCTTTCATGATATTAGTGCAAATGTTTTTAGACAGAATTTCGTTCTTTTATTCTTCAATATTTAAGGTAGCTGCTATGCCATTTGAGTAATTGTTGACCTCATTTTACCTGCCCATTGGACATGCACTCACATAAAATTTCACAGATCATCACACATTTTTAAAATTAATTATCTGATTTTGATCTGATCATAAAGGATCATGATCACTGGAGTCATCGCCTCTGAGAAGCCATTGGATCTTCATTTGTTCCGTAGCTACACAAGCCCAAGTGATCTCATTAGCCCTCCAAGCCCCTCTTCGCGAAGAAGTCCGACCGTCTTCAAACCGCCAAGTGAGCAGTTGATCTGGGAGACAGCTAGAAGCACAGGCGCAGCACCCACCTACTTCAAGTGAGTAATGTCCTCTCATAAAGGATCCTACAGGGCTTGGAGAATAAGATGGCCCCTCTAATTTTGTTGGGCCAAAATAGCAGGTTTTCTGGACAGGCAGTGGCAGCCAGAAAATTTTTTATGTTATCTCTGAAACAATACCACAAAGCTGCTATCTGGATCAGAAAAGAAGGAAATTCACCAGTTGTGGACAAGGTATCGAAATACAGTGTAAGCACCAGTACAACATCCGAAATGACAATAAAATAAATGAATGAGAACTTCAGTCCCCGTGAATTTTGTCTTCAGACCGCTCGCTTTCAGGTGCACTGATGCGTTCTTTCACTCTCTTTCAGGAGACCTCCATTTGGAAGCTGTTCCTGACATAATGTTTGGTAGCTTTGTAAAAATCGAGTGTACCTACTGTGCTTCTATGAGTTTTGTGGCACGACAAGATTTAACTCACTATTAAAGCCCTATGCAAAAAAAAAAGAAAAAACCTATAAAACGGTGTTGACTGTTTGAGTCTTAGTTCCACAAAGAAGACAAACGACGAAAAATTCAACAAGAAGGAACGGTGCATAAAATTAAAGAGCAGATTATTTGAGTAAAAAAAAAAAAATACTACAGGAATGAATGGGTTACCAACACAGACACAAGTCATTAAAGGACAGAAAAATCGAACACACATTTAAAGCTGGATTAGCACCCATGCTCACTCAGTGATCGTTTGGAGGAAAGCAAACGGGCCCCTGGCAGGCCTAAAGCTGGGATGATTACCAGTAAGAGCTTTATACTCACACAAACTTAAAATTAGTGCATTTTTACAAGCCACCAACTTGAATGCAGTTGCCCTACGACCAACTGTAAGAAGTACACAGTGAATCACCGAATCATTTTCAACTTAAAAAGAACCCTCAAAAAATGTTATATTTAAAAAAAATGAATCTATGATACCCAACTGCATCGCCTTTTTCATTGAAATCTTGTCACCATCATTTGTACTGATTGTTTTTTTGCAGGCAGCATGAATGTTTTGTGGATGGAGGTCTCATTTCGAATAATCCAACGTTAGATGCCCTTTGTGAAATAAACGAATACAACGCAGCTTTGGAGTTTCTGGACAGGCGCCAAGAAATTCTTCCACCAAAAGTAGTTGTATCCATAGGAACTGGTCGGCCGCCAGTCATAGATGTATGTTCATGGTCTAGCTCTCTTATAAATACTTAAGATGCAACATCTTAATATGCCAAGCCTCCGAATTTCAAGTCAATTATCATCTTTTTGCTTTCCATGAAAGTTGATTTTACTATATTCTTTTTTCGGATGCGTAACTTTGTACTTTTTATCGTCATTATCAAGGCAAAGTAATATTTTTGGTTCACATACTTAGCGTACCATTTTTGTAATAGTTTTGATTCCTGAGTGATTCAGTCAGTATATTAAGTCCCTCAAGTTTTCATGGAAAATCTCTTGATGGGTTAGTTGTAAATTCTGTCAAGCAAAATTGTGAAGAAACACAGAAGGTTGTAGATTATAGTTACTCAGTGTAATACAAGTATTTCTGCATTTTCTCTAAGAGGAAATATTTCAGAATTTCTCAGGAACATTTTTACTTCAAATATCTCTTTTTTTACGCTACAGTCCTTAAGTATTATTGTTATTCTCTTTGTTCCAGCTGCTGCCTATTGAAATGAAACCAATCGGTCTAAACCCTCTCAACCAATATCGAAACTACACAACCCTCCAAACCCTTGTAGAAATTCTTACAGACCAATCAACACAAGCAGAGGGTCAAGTAGTTGACAGAGCCCGCAACTGGTGTGCTATGTTGGGCATCCGCTATTACCGTTTCAATCCGCAGTTGTCAGAGGATGTGCCCTTGAGTGAAACTAGAGGAGAAACGCTGATTAATATGCTTTGGGAAACAAGAGCATATATGGTCGAAAATCGGGAGAAAATTTATAATCTGCTACACTCTCTGACACCCAGCGAACAACAAGTCTGATCCAAAGAGTTTGCGTTGAGTCGGTTGTGCAGCATTCAGTGAATTAGGTTCTGTTGAAGTTAATATTTAAATGTGTCTCTGTAGGTAAACTCTTTCCTTGGGGTATCAATTAAGATTAAAGGTCTAGGTGTATAAAGGTTTTCCTGTCATTGGGAGACTCCCCCGTAAATTTTTCTTAGGCATAGAATGCTCCAAATATAATTATATCCGCACGTTGTGCAACTTCAGCCAGGGGAGGAAGGATGGGGGGGGGGTTGTTATTCCAAAACCCTCTGTGGCAACCTATTATCGACCATCCATCGCACCTTACTTTACCAGATCAGTTGTTTTGTGAAAATATCATATACTACATTCTTTTTGGCACCCGTTAGTTTTCGCTCTCTTGCATTTGGACTGTGATCCCTCTTCGGAACTTTGACTGATTTTAGCCAGAAATCATTCTCAGTTGTCGGGTCCTTCAAATTCTTCCACAAGCTAACATGCTCTTGATGAGGAGGTCATAAAGTCCTCTTTTGTTATGTTGGTTTTATCTTATCTCTTTTGCTCTGGGAATCTCGTGCATAAGTATTTTTTGGTTTATTTTCTCAAGGAAAAATATAATATGTATACAAATGTTTTAAGTCAGCAATTGAGATGTATCATTATGAATTATTTGTTCCAACCGCGCCTCCTCTCTTTAGAGATTGAAGTACATATATAATTTTCAGAGGAGTGCTTGAACGAGACAAATAGGTACAAACAATCAATTGTCCTCTTTCTCTAATATTTCCATCTCTTCATAATCTGCCATCAATCCTTGTGAAAAATTGCTGTCTGTCCACCCTGCAAATTCCTCATAGCATATAGGCTGGTGGCGAGTGTCAAATTAGCGTAGGGCCATAAAGTGACTCCACCGCTCCGCCCCAGTGCATACGCTATATCTTGGCCCTGCAGATTGTAATACTCTCAGTACTAATTGTCTGCCCAGTGCCATCTTCATGGCGGAAACTGCGTCTATTGCGCACAGTGGAAATGAAACTGTCAAGGCCGTTCAGTAAAATTTTTAGTAATTGTCCAGTTTTAATAATGGAGTAGACTTCCCAACAGCCGAGTAAGAAGTTTGAATTCGTACTCAAATGTCCAGAACTAGACATTACGCGACCGGATACCACTACCCTATGGTTGGTGCCTGCTCACTATTGAGGAAATGCGCTCCTTTCTTGCAAAGTACCTCCAAGTGTATAATTCCATTCTTTTGATATTTAATTTTCTCTAGTTTTTTAGTAAACTCTGGAGTGGAACAGTGAGAGATGATTAGCAGTTTATCCTTTAGTTTTTTTTTGCACTGAAAGGAGAATGCCTTTAGCTAAATAATCCAAAATTTGGTCAATTTTTTGGCTTAGTAGTGATTAAAAAGACAAAACATGGAATTAATTGGGCTCTATGATTTAAACAGCATTTCATGAGGATTCTTGTTTACGTAACACAAGAGCTGTTCGTCAATATTATGAACTTTAGGATGCAAAACGAAGAAACTTATAAATTCTGTGTTCCAGAAAACTCCATAAATTCTCATTAAATACATCACAAACTTACCAAACGAAACATCACGTACAATTACAGATTGATGTTCTGGCTTTTTTACAGAACTTAAAAAATATAATTTGAAACATATCAAGTGATTTCACTGAATATTAATTATTCCAGTAATTGCGAACTGAATGACCTCAAAATTTGATGCTAAAGGGTCATTCAACAAGTGAGTTTCCTCATTTTATAACTCGTGAAGTAACAAAGATTTCAATTCGGTGAAAAATTAAGTATTAGGTAAACTCTTAGCTTAAAACAAGCCCAAGTTTTTGAAACTTGGTTGAGAGAATCATGAGATAACTCAATTTTACTGACAGTGAGATGACGTACTACATCCCATCCTCCCTCCAGTAGATCACACTGAAGTCTCCCAACTTTTTCCCCAAAAGCGTAAAGTATTGGAAGCAAAAAAAGTTTCATTTGTTTTGATCCATATATTCTCAACCTTGACTTGTTGTATTGGTTTGACATTTTTCATCAACCGAGCTGCATTAGCAGCGCGTGTTTACCTCTCGGCACTCCTCAGATCGAATATTTCCAGTACAAAAATCCACCATTAGGTACATCAAATTTTCGGGAAAACATCAAAACTTTACAGATTGATGTATAGTTTGTTTTTTTTTTTTTTTAAATTATTCTTTATAGTCTATGAACATCTTGTCATTCCGGAAGAAACGGAATCTTTTACAGCATATGAAATTTGACTTAAAGTTTAAAGGTGAACATGCAATGCTGATACAGAGCATGGCACAAAATCTGATTTTCTCGCTGATTGCCTGGCGATAGAACTCAAACCAACATACCATATTGAAACTGAGAAAATGAGGATCATAAAGAAAAATAATCCAACTTTTTTGGCTTTCATCACTAGATAAAATAGGGCAATTTCAGTCCAATCCATGAGCGCACCAGGAGATGGATACGGTAGGTATAGATGGTCTCGGTAAATTTAAGTTTTATTGCAGCATCCTCGGTGGATTTCCAAAATCTTGGGATTGTTTAAAAGCTGAGAGTATGCTTCACACCGTGCTTTTTTACTGAGTTCTTATATCTCTTTGGTTCAGTAGGTATAGAATGGGGAGACCTTTAAGATGACCCTCACATAATCGAAAACAGGCTCCAGTTTGAATATCTTCTTTTTGTTTCAGGCTGATCATTGAAAATTCGTCTTTTCTACAAGAATCCGATGTAACAAAGCTGAAATTAAGAGGCGTATTTTATGTTTCAGCACTCTGATTCTCTTTAGTGTCCCCTCATTGAACTGGATTCACAATAGCCTTGCTAGCACGATATCTCAAATTGATGCATAGAATACAACGTAAGTTGCAAATTTAAGCGATATGATGTGTGTTCTCTCTTCAAAATTTCATGTAGAACACAATTTTTTCAACGAACATTATTGAAAGTAACTTTTGACTAAGATATTAATGGTTTTCGATGCATAAACTCCAACTTTTATATGTAAGTAACTTTACGTTCTTTCATGACTAATTAGAAAAACCATAACCCCTAAGAGTTAAATCATGCACTAAATATCACTGTGTCAGTCTCAGTGGTATGACAATATGAAAACCTTAGTCTCAGCGTTTCGACTCAGTTGTTAAATGTTGTTTACATTTTAAACAACACAGGGCGAGGAAGGAATGCTTCTCCATTAAGAAGCCTGCCATAACTGTTGTAGTGTGCAATTCGATTCACGTGGACTCAGGTCTTGTGAGTGGAAAATTCATAAGCCTCGTAACCAGAGCTAAGTAAAAGAGTTAATATCTTAGTTAGGAGTTTAGGGTTGCCAGTGGTATGTCATGGAATTTACGGCAACCTGGAACAGTCAAGGAATTTCATCAGGCACGTCATCAGCAGAAGTCAGCGTAATTTAAAGGAAAAAAGTTAGATGAAAGTTTTGCCCGAAGGTCAGGGATTGCGAAAATTTTGGAGTTAGGGAAAAGCAGAAAATGTCAGGGAATGTCAAGAAATCTGGAAATGAAGAAATTATGGAAGCCCTGAAGTTAATCTTTTTGTAATTTTCGCTGCACCAATCAATTTCTACGTTAAATTTTAAAGAGGAATCATTTATCAGAATGCTTAAATTGGTACCTTGTCTAGTGTTCATTCACGAAACCATGCTCTCTCATCCCTTAATAAAGACACAATTTCAATGATCAGCTTGCACGTCTCTTGTAGGATCTTCTCATCAGAATAATCCTTTTTTTAAATCATCAAAATGATTTTCCATTTCTACGTAATTATTTCCTATGTAATATGATTTTACTTGAATTAGATTTTTTGTAAGGAGCCTTTTTTATACCTACTATTTTGTAAAGAAAAACAAAGACTACTTGATTAAAGGAGAATTTCTCCGCAACTCATTACCTCAGATATAATTGCAAATTTTTAAAACGGCACAATAAATCAGTTGATAGAAATGTCTGGAAATGGCATTCAATTCGGGGCAGTGACCAGACAAATGTCATTTCTTCCACTCAAAGTGCACACATCTTACTCATGACTTCATTCAAATATGTTTAATTGGTGTGCGGTTTAAGCTATGTACAAAAAAAAACGAACAAACTGTACATGAAAGTAACGTTAAGTTTTGCTTTGTGATATTAGCTGATTTGTTGTTGATTTTATGTGTATACAGAATAAACCTTTGTTTTACAGTAACCTTTCTTTGTATTTATTCAATTATTCAGTATTTCTTTATAAGGTGTTCTTGCTGATCGTTTTAAAGTCATTTGGAGCCAGATTTGAAGTATTACTTTCATGGATGAGAGCAAGTATTGTGGTTGACCTAGGGTAAAAGTATGTACTTTTTTAGCAGAGTTTCTTGGCATTGTGAGCATAGTCCTTTATAAAGAAAATCATGATACTCAAAGACTGTTTAAGGCTACGCAAACTACAATTTTGAAGCCACCGGACGTTTCATAAAACGGACAACAGAAAAAACAGTAAAATCTTGAAACTTCGAAAATTTATTAAAACAGTTGAAAGTTTATTACGTTTTTTTTTCATTGAAATCATGCATGTCCTGGGGTGTAACAAAAATAGAAAATTGAAATACACAAATGGAGAGCAGTATACCCTACTGCAACCATAAAAAGTCTTACCTTCATCAGACTTTTTATCAACACGTATTAGCTTCAAACCTGACCAGTTGGCCAGCATACTTTTACTGGACTGCCTTACAAATTTTTATGCCTATGCAGGCTTGTCTCTTTGAAAACTTTCTAGGCAGACTTGTAGGTATGGACCTTGCCTAACCAAACGGAATCAAGTCACATCAAGATTGAACCGAGTGAAAGTGGTTTAAATCTTTAAAGCTTCACAAGATACTGTGTCACATGTGAGGCTCAACATCTTTTCTCGAATTAAAATTATTTTCTTTTAACTTTAAATTTCTGACAGGAGAAAATTGTTACCTGAATCAGCTTGAAACTACCCCTGAATCGTCTTTACCTACATGTGACTTAGTTCCATTCCGTGCATGTACTTTGTCGCTCCTATGATATAAGGGCATATCTACACTTTTGGATGAGCCCTATTGCCCATTCATTCTACATACTTTTTGGGGCTCACAGAGAAACGCCCTGAAGTCAGAAGGGCGACGATTTGAGGTATAGATTTCTGATTTTAAAAATATGAGCACAAAAATATCTTTCTTCTTTTATCTGATTGAGTTACTTTATCATTCGATGGCATAAGTCTGCAACCACATATCTCGTTTGCGGTGTTTGAAAATCTCTGCCTTTGTTATTTTTTTAAAGGAGAACAAATTAACATCATTCCTTGAGGTGTTTGCAGAATTTTCTTCGCACAGAAAGAAAAATCACGGCAGTTTTAAAGAATTGCAGTTAAGTAGCTTTCTGTATAAAAAATAAAGTACGACAGGAAGTCTGCGACGTCGCAAACCGAGTTATGTGACTACCGACTTACACTGTCACATTGCATTTTTGAGGTTTGTTAGAGGTCATAGTTTGTTTTACTGCGAATGGTTTTTTTTTTATTTTTTTTATTAACGAGGGCCTATCCCAACTTAATGTGAGACTGAAAAAAAAAAGAAAAAAAAAAAGTTAATACAGATCCGTAAGATAACGGTATTTTCAAAAAACCATCATCAGAAGTTTTGATATTTTTAGATGTTAGTGGAGCATAGATGAATTCAGCTGCTGTGTTTCAGGTTCTGTAAGTTGTTCACTTTGGAGAAGGAGATTACTTTTTTCCGGATTTCTTCTTCTTTGGGAGTCTGAAAATAAAAAAACAGATGAGTTTAAAGCCAACAGTAAATATATGGGGTACTAAGTAAGGAGAAAGTCATGAAAATTCGAGTAGGTATCGGCTACCGCTACCCATCATCTCATCTTTATACTGGAGTATGGAACCGTTCTGGTTAACTACTCCTTTCTTCCTCATTATTGAGAGAGTGGGTCAGTTATGCTTGTCATAGAATGGTGCTTTGGTGTTTTAAGCTGGTAGATACGCAAAAGTTATTAAGATTCGTCCAAAAGCCAAATTTCTACGTCCCATATCAACAAAGATGACACTCATCGAAAAATAGGATGTAGTGCATTATCCACCGCTGTTGTGCATAACATGATTTTTTCCACCTTGGTTTCATTAATCAGAGATTCAGATACTTGCACTGGTTGCTTGACATAAAACACATGTGTAACTAAGGAGGACGAAACGATGGTATACACCACTGCAAAGATAACGTAATACACAGTGTTTTTTGATGAGCGATACCTCCATTAATATTGGACATAGGAATTTTGCATTTGCACAAATCTTCATAATTTTTGATAATTCATAAGCTAAAGCCACCAAAACATGATTCTGCAACTCGCACAACTGATCCATTAAAAACTCAGATTAGTATCTTTCTCTCCTCTTGAAAAAGAGGCTGCCTATCTTTAAAAAAACAACGAATATGTTGCCATGGAGAGAGTTAAAGATAGACAAGGAAAGCACTACATTTTTTGCTGCATATGTTTGAGCTCATTTGAATGCCGGGCTGTAGAGAGGAAAATGTGGCGAGGCAAATAGAGGCAACGTTCGAATTGCCTAACCAGTCTGAGACAGGGTGGATGTTAATTTGTTAGTTTCGATCCACTATTTGAATGTTTAGACTGAGTTGATCCCTAATACAGTCTTCACACTTCTATACAACCTCAAGAGGAGGTGTTAATAACCGTCCAAAGTTATGCAAAGATGATCTCATATTGTTGACATTCCTCAAAAGATGCCGGGTATGTTGTTCCCTAGAATATGCAACATTTCATAGTAATATTATGTGTTGCATTCCATCTGATTAAATTTTTGAAGTTGATTAATAATACTCACTTTTGAGACAAATCTCTTTGTTCAAGGTTTTCAGGTTTCAGTACAGTTACCTCTTCTTCCTCACTATCACCACTCAATTCTGAAATCATCGAAGAAAATGTAAAAATTATTACAGAGATAATAATCTAAATTGCTTTCTAATTTAAAAATTAGATGATATACTTCAAATATTACAACGTTTACGAACATATCAAACAATCATCCGACTGTAGGATATTCAGACTGTCACGCTTTTTCAATGCACACTCCTGAGTAATTTTCTATCTTTTGTTTAAATGTTGGTGATTGAGGAGAGTTCCTCTTTCTTCACCGTCATCCGTCTTGGAAGGTGCGGCAGAATGCTCCTGAACTAAATGCTCCACATATCTGACACGGTGGCAGTGCCACGTATTCATATAAGAATTCACTTTTCACCCCGGCTTTTCTCAGCTTTGGTACATAGAAAGTTTAACTTTAGCAGCTTCTTATTTATTCATTTATTCTTATTTGAACAAATTTTATTCAAAGATATTGTAACTACTACAAAGACTATATGCCTTGTATCCATCTACATGAATTAAATTCACTAAGGTATTGGGAAAACAAAGAAACATTAGATAATACAGATTATCTAGAAGATCAGGAATTTTGAAATTCTCTTTCTTCTGTCGTAAGAAAATATTTAAGTTAATCAGCTTGATAGTTTTACCTAGTTGAATGACTTTTTCATGACGACTGACTTCCTGGACTAGTTCCACCTCTGAATTTTCAGACTCACTGGAATAATCACCACCTTCATCGACCATCCATGCATTTTTATCACCAAGGCCAACCTAAAACAAAAGGTATGTTTACATATCTATACATTGTAACTAAGTATCATATCCTCTAATTTCTTCTTCAGCATAACTTTTGCTTACTATAAGTATCTTGAGTAGCACTAGGAAATTTTTGTGGGTAAGATTGAATAAATTTTCAAGATTTTCCTTTCATTGTAGAGACGAGTCTTATCATGCAATGCTCAGCATTTGCACAGGTGTGGTACCCTAGCAACCCACTTTAAGCCTGCCTCTGGCTTACAGTTTATCGTCTGAGCATATCATCTGAAACGCCATGGAGCTTGCCACCAAGGTTCGTTGGAGGTTTTTTTTCTTTTTTGGGAGGCTTCCTGAATCTCTTGCTAAAAGATCCTGGAAACCAACACATATTCATGACCGTTGGGTTTTTTTGAACCACCCTATAGGAGCCTGCTCTAAACAAATTGCTATATTTGAGCATATCAAATGCTACTGTATCATTCTTAAAAAAGTGGATCGTATCTGATAGAGGGCCATATCTAATGGACATCCTGTTTGGATCTTTTAGCAGTTTCAATGGAAACAAAGGGATTGTGAAACCTGATAAAGAAATATAATTTTAAAATCTGAGGGCCTTGTTTATGCTCAAATTGGCCGCGTCTGTTTACTTTAAAATCAGTTTCAGTTGCGAAATAACATTCAATTTGAGAAAAATTTTCTTCTAACTTTTCTGGTAGAAAAATAATTTTTCAACCATCTCGAAAGGTCCCGATTTTTTCACTTAATTTTTTCTTTGATAATTCATATTTTGCAGCATCTTTTCCCCAGAATAAGTGTGTTATTTCGTTGATGAACTCGTTCTTCATCCTATGATTTTAAATTAAAAAATCCTGTTTACAGCATCTTCTAAAACCTTACCTTCACATCAAGATTGCTGACTAATTCAGCAGAACTGGGTCCGGTTGAGACTATTTTCATATCTTCATTACTACAATCCTTCATTTCAACATCTAAAAAAAGACCAAAAGAAAAAATAATGGTCACTATGCTGCAGAACGGTACTTATGAAAAAGTTATTTGACAATATGTATACTTGAATGCTCTTCAACCGTTAAAGACTGATTGTTTTGGGCAGCATCAACTTCTTACCTCTTCTTTAATGCCACTCATTCACCAATTAGTGAGACACCCTCTAGAACGCTTGCCAGAAAGAAACAATTAAACATAGGTAAAAATAGAAGCAACAACAAGGTACTTGTCATTTTTTCCATACATCTACAATTGCTTCAACTGCTTGGTCACGATATTTAGCACAAAGCTACTCAGAACGTCCAAGTTGTCTGGAATAAATTCATTCCTGATATGCTCCCTCTCTGCTTAAAACCGATTTTCCAGAAGTCAATTTCTGTTGCTTACAGCATTTTCTAAACTTGCGATATCTGGGGGAAATTAGAGTTGTATATTCTTTTTTTTCCCTCTTCTTTTTTGAAAAAATAAAATAATGATAAAAATGCTTAGAAATAAAATTTTTTCCTACAGATGGTGAGAACAAAAATAGTAATGTAAAGTATGTTTGTATAGTAAAGTAATGTAATATGCATTAAAGTATAAAGGTCAAAAACCTAATTTTTCTTCAGTTTCTGTGGTCAATTCTTTTATTTTCTCCTGGAGTTCCCTGTCTGTCAGTTTGATGATTAGCCGCTCTTGCGATAAAGCAAACAAGGAGTCTTCGTTAACACATGAAACCAAGCCTGGTACTTGCATGTTGGAATTCCTAAAAAGAAAAAAAACAATGAGTTAAACTCAATTAAGGGGCAAAGAAAAACTTATTGGTTCTTTGTCAAAATTTGAGAGAGGCCATAGACAAAAACACAGGAAAAAGTTTAGATTGTGCATTTTCTCACATAGAATTAGAGAGAAAGAGCTTAAAATAGAGAATTTGCAGGTGTCTGAAATTTTGTAAATTTCATCTTTAAAATGATACTGCTAAGAAAACTGAATACAAGGATATCCTTGGTTTCTAAATTGGACAATTATTGGAGGAAATATGACAAAATAACCTAATCTGCTAAAATACATGTGTTCAAATGGAAAATGTTGCCAGATGACGTCATGAGGTGGCACATTTTCTCACTTTTAAATCTATTGTTCTCCAATTTCCCATGTCAGAAAAAAGTTATGGAAAATACTGCAAATTCAGCTCACTATGCACTCTCAGATGAAGCAATAAAATTTTTGTGTGCAGATTCTCCGTTGAGTTCAAAGTACAAAACGTAAATGGTATGATCGTACTTTTTCTTAAATATTGTTTATAGAGAAAATTGAAATATACTGGGCTACTGAATAGTTCTTTAAACCCAACAGAAAACGAAAGGTGAGGAGATTTAAAGCAAAGGACAGTCCACCAAATCAGAGATATAGATTTCTGAATAATGGATTCTTGTTCCATGAGTAAAAAACATGATAACTTAATAGCTCAGCATACCTGACATTTTGGTCTTCCTGGAGTGTATCTCTCACATAATCCACAAGCCTCTTGGCTATTTTAGCTGCTTGACTGGAGCACCTGACCACTAGATCCACAGTTTTAATGGAAGAACCCTCTAAATAAAGGCCGCACAGTTCTCTATAGCTATTGACACATACGACTAGTTGAACGTCAGATACATGCTCTTCTAAAGCGGTCGGATCGTGTATTATATGCTTCCTGAAAAAAAAGAGAAGGAAAATAGACTGTTGAAGTAGTTCTTTGTTTTTTTAGTGAAGTGAAATTCCCAAACCTTGTATCTTGTTTGCAGTGTCTAAAAATCTCTGCTCCTCTTTTACTCCTCTAAAGGAAAACAAATCAACATCATTCCTTGAAGTTTTTGGAAGAATTTTATCAACATTTAGCTGAAATGAAATCTTGTGATGATACAAGACTCCAGAAAAAGGTTCCACTTGACCCCCTCCTCCCGAATTGTCAGCTATATGTTGAGCACCCCTTGATCCCTTCTCTCCATGGGCACCTGACATCATTTATAAATAGCCCCTAGGGTTCAAAAATTATTTTTATAAATGAGAAACAGTGCAAGATGTGAGCTCATAAAAAAGAAACTGAGAAGTTTGACAGCACTAGCCAAGAATTGCACACTACAAAAATGATTAATTGATTTACCCTTGATCAAATAATGCAAATGAAACTGCAACAGGATAGTGGTGAATAGTTAAAGGGATGGCATCTCGCTCTGCTTCTGAATGGATGATGATCCCCTCTCCTGTGGATGTCACATCAGGGTGTCGAAAATGCGCAAGTGCAGCCAACGCCGCGATAGAACAGCAACCAACGACATTTCCTTCATAGTTTAGGATATTGAGATCAACACGTACATTCCAGACCTGAAATGAAAGAGACATAGTGTAAAAAATTAAGCTGTGTTGAAAGTATAGATGATGGTGCTATAACTCTGAGACTCACACAGGTGGCGAGGGGAAAAGAGCAATTGGTGCAGGTGAGGTATTGATTACTTAAGTATGTTCTTTAGGTCGCAGAATCCGAATTTGAGGTCAAAAACTGACATTTCATGCAAAGAATCCCCCCCCCATCAAGAAAGCAGCCAAAAATGCTGCTGCATAGATGAACAAATCATTACCATGAAACAGCGCCAACATGAGGTATCGATTCCTATGTTTTTTTCGTCGCAGAATCCATAGAGATAATCCGTAGAGATTCATAGGGGAGAGTGTTGCTTGAACATGATTTTCAGCTACCACCTTGGATTTGGAAAGTACTCATCATGAAATGTCGGTTAATACGTAAAAGTTGTATTCTGCCACCAAAAAACATAAGAATCGATGCCTCATGTGTTGTTGTTTTATGGTAATGATTTCTTCATCCCTGTGCCAGCAATTTTGGCTGCTTTCTTGAATGGGGGGGG